GAATCGCCTTGCTCCCCACTGTGGTTCTTCATGACATACCGCCTCTCCTCTTTCCTCCTGGTTTCACGTTTGCTCTCAGATCAAGAAGTGTGTACCTCGTTTTTATAGAGGTAGAGCTCCACTGGGCAAGCGATACCTGTGTTTGGTAACAACAGGTCTTTTGTTTGGGGTTTGGCCCAAAGCAAGGAGGCCACCCCAGTTATCAGGGCATAGAGCGTCATTTTCAGGAGTCTGCTCAGTGCTGCCCAGCAAAAGAGAGCCGTCCCAGGAGAAGCCGTAGGAAATGAAGCTCGTTTAGCACCTGGCCTCTGAGTGCTTGTGCCCTGACACTTGCCCATGCCCTGTGACCCTCCCTCAGAGCAGTGTGAAAGAGTGCTGAGCTTACGGGTTTCTTTCCCTAGCCGTGGAGGTTGGTCTTCCAACACAGGAAGAGCCTTGACCTTAGTCTGGGACTCTGTATCCTTGTAAAAAGAGAAAGTGACCTTCGGTGATAAGATCCCTTGCTGGAGCCCACATCTGGATGCTTCCTCACAAAACATGGAGGACTCTTTCATTCCATTGCACTGCTGCCTCTCTGGAGGAGAGGGATGTTCTTCTTGCAGTGTGCCCTGCAGGGGGGTTTCAGCTCGGTCCAGCTCTTCAGAGCGCAAGTCTGAGAGCAGGCTGATTGCAAGGTCTTGTCCAAGTAGAGAATGGACTGACTCATGATACCTGGATAGACTCCAGAGGGAGATGCAGTGCCCTCTCCAGCTGCTGGCAGAGCGCGCTCCTGCTTGGGCGGCTCTGAGCACGCTGGTGTCCAGTGGCCATCTGGAGAGGGCCGGGATCAGCTTTCCTCCAAAGCTGCTGGAGTTCCGTCCCACTCTCTGACCTCATGGAAGAATTCCTCCTCAGCTCTGATAAGCTGTCCCGCCTGATGTGATGGAGTTTGATGGGAGTGCGAGGGGGCAAGGTGGAGTTCAGGGGAGATGGGGAGGAGACAGACCATCAGTGGCTTTACCAGCATTTCCGCGGGGTCGAGCACTGTCAGCATGCAGCAGCACGGGCAGGGCCTCCAGGGGCTTTAGTTCTGGGGCTGCCTCTGTGCTGTACTAATCTGTGGCCTTGGGTAAGTTCCTTTTCCTCCCTGAGTCAAATTACCCTCATCTGACAGAGAAAAATAAAAGCTACTTTGCCTACCAAACAGGGTTGGTGTGAGCAGAAAATGAATGTTTGGGAAAGCGTATGATAGCCATAAAGCATCGTATTGACATAAGACATTATTTTTATTTTATTTTTAAATTTAAAAAAATTAATTTATTGATTTTAAAGAGAGGGAGAAACATCGATTTGTTGTTCCACTTACTTATGCAGTTTGGTTGATTCTTTAAAGAAATTTTTTTTTAATTTATTGATTTGACAGAGAGACATCAATATGTTGTCCTATATACTTGTGCATTCATTGGTTGCTTCTCGTATGTGCTCTGACTGGAGATCGAACCTGCAACCTTGGCGAATCAGGATGGTGCTCTAACCAACTGAGCCACCCAGCCAGGGCCATTGGTCGGTTTTTGTGCGTGCCCAGACCAGAGACAAGCCCACAGCCTTGGTGTATCTGGACAGTGCTCTAATCAGCTGACCTACCCGGCCAGGGCATTATTTTTAAAGCCAGTAGTTTTGTATTACATGCCAAGTATGCTGGTCATGTCCTAGTTTGGGGGCAGAGGCACATTTACTCGGACACAGTCCATGTGCCCTCTAGAAAGGCTTTTCTTCAGCCAGCCTCCGTTTCCCGGGTCTGGGCAGATTCCCTATCGTCCGCAAGGCCCTGGACAGAAAGACAGAAGCAGTTTGCTCTCCTGAGAGGAAACCCCAATGAGACCCCTCAAATTTAGCTAATATAACATATATTAAGATTTTTTCATAGGTTCTTGATTTGAGAGAGAGAAGAACGGGGGGTGGGGTGGGTAGACAGCCCTGCCCAGGATCGTTCCCCGAGACTTTTGGTGTACGAGACAATGCTCCACCAACTGAGCCACACCAGCCAGGGCTGTAATGTCTGTTTTACCACAATGTGTTAAAAACCAGCTAATGTATTAGGCCCATTTGTCTACGTGTCTCATTTGGCCCACACAGTGATATGAAAGCAAGAGTTCATGTAATAAAGTTTAAAAGGGGGAAAGGGTTTTCTAAAAATAAAAAAATAATAATAATAAAAATACAGAGCTTTCCCATAATAATCTTGAATTAGGTTTCTCCTAAAATAATGTAGCAGGTGCTCTTCGGCGCCTTTGTAGTCCCTTCACTTCCCCACTGTGCTCCCTACGTACGGAGTTTGGTTACTTGCTTGGCCGGGGGGGGCATTTGGTGACCCTGTTTGAAAGTATCTAAATCCCACAAATGGTAGGTAAACTTTGCATTAATGGTGGAGGAACATGAGTAGACAGGCTTCTTTTTCTTCTTCTTCTTCTTCTTAAGATTTGTTTATTTTAGAGGGGAAGAGAGGGAGAGAAACACTGATCAGTTGCCTCTCATGCCCCATCAGGGGATCGAATCCACAACCCAGGCATGCACCCTGGCTGGGAATCGAAACTTTTGCTTTGCTTTGCAGGCCTACTCACAACCAACTGAGCCACACTGGTCAGGGCAGCAGTCTGTAGTTTAGATTGGAGCAAAATGTTACACTGGGAACTTTAAAACCATAAGTTATTGGTGGAAAGCCTTGAAAAGCCCTTAAATGGTAATGGACATGAGACTGACATGAGACACAGTATCTACTCAGGCAGTGACACTGATGCTAACCTCAAAAAGCTGAGAGAGTGACAGTTCTGACAGACAATGCTGTGGGCTTGGTTTCTCTTTGAATGTCTGTCATTTCACAGAAAACACCCAGGGCACTCCTCACTCTCGGTTCCCCTTTCCACTCCGTCCTCACAGTCAGCAGTCAGCGGGCACTGACTTGCGTTGCCATCTGGAGTGAGGAGTCTTCATTCTAGAGGTTTCCTAGCCGGAGAGTTCATGGTGCCCTCACAGTACAGTCTGTTGTGCTTGCCTGAGTATATTTTGGGTCTTTCTCAAAGCAAAGCATTTTAAGCATAACTCAGCACCAATCAGAATGAGTATCGTGTCAGGCTGGATTTCAGTCTAGGTTCACGTTGTTCATAGGAGACAAAACTAAGGACATTGGAAGCATGAAAAGTAAAAGACAGAAAAACGCATGTTACAGGGAATACTAACCAAAGAAAACTGGCACAGCTCTATTAGTTCTGAAAAGTAGATTGTCAGGGTCGTTTCATAATGATAAACTGTTTAATTTGCTAGAAAGAATAATGCTTGATTCTTCCCATAGTCAATAGATCAAACAAATTAGCAAGAATTCAGATTTGAACAAGTTAACCAGCTTGAATTGCACCTATAACTTTAGAATATAGTCATTTTCAGGACATACAGAACATTTATGAAAACTGACCACTCGTTGGGCCCTGAAGGGGATGTGAGCAGATCTCAGAGACTTTGTACAAAGGCAGTGATTCTTACCATTTTGCAAGTAATAGACTCCTCTGAAAATCTTACATGTTTTATAAGTCAGGGTTTCTCAGCCTCAGCACTTCTGGCATTTGGGACCAGATAATTCTTTTCTCTCTCTCTCTCATTTGTTGATTTTAGAGAGAGAGGACAGGAGGGAAGGAGAGGGACAGAGACAGAGACACGTGTTTGTTCCACTTATTTACACATTCATTGGTTGATCGCGTATGTGCCCTAACTGGGGATGGAACCTGCACCCTTGGTGTATGGGGCGATGACGCTCTAACCAGCTGAGCTCCGTGGCCAGGGCTGGGACCAGATAATCCTCTGGTGCAGATTATCCTTAGCTGTTCTGTATTGTAGGTTTTTAACAGCATCCCTGGCCTCTACCCACTAGATGCCAGTAGTGCCCCTCTCCCAGTAGTGACACCCAGAAATGTCTCCAGACATTGCCTAGTGTCCCCTAGTGGGCAAAATCAACCCTGGGTGAGAACCACTGTGACAGGTCTTCTCTTTGGAGAAATACATAGTTTGCATGCCATTTCTCCCCTCCAGTGTCTAGATGGTCTTGCCCTCCTCACTGAGGACAGCTGAGTGGAGCATTTTGTAGGAAAAAGCAGTGGGACAGCCATGGAGTCTGGACGTGTGGTCCATGTTCTCTCTACGGTTTCCCCTTGTCTAGTGCATGGACTAGTACAGGAGCGTGGAGGCTTCATGGAGTTCCCGGTGCTGAGGGCCTGAGGCCTGAGACTGCATTCACGTCCATAGACTTGAGCCTTCTGCTCTGTTCTAAGCCTCTTGCTAGGTGATAATCACAGAGAGTTCGAATTCATGACAGGGAAACAAAAGTTATAAACTGTGATTCATGTGATCGGGAAGGAATAAAAGAGAGAGCTTATCCTGAGGAGCAGGTGATTAACTAGATGGGATCAGAGAAGACTTCACAAAGGAGAGGTGGCCAGCCAAGCTGCTGGGTTTTGCAGAATAAAAATGGGAGTGTGCAAGGGAGAGGACATTGCAGGCAGGCGGGCCAGCACGCCGGGCTCTGGGGTTTGGTAAGAGCTCAGTCTTGCTGTGGCGTGAAACAGGAACAGAGATAAAGGAAGGTATGGGCGAGGCGTGCTTAGGAGCTTGGACTTGACCGGGCAAGTAGTTGAAGCATTTTAAGTGGGGAAGTGGCACAGTCAGATTTGTGTTTAGAAAGTTGATTTGAGTGGCTCTGTGAAGGATAGCTGGGAGGCCGTGCGAAGAACCCAGCTGGATGCTGAGGGTCTAGAACTGTCGCTGCAGCTGTGGGGATGGAGGGAGATGAACTGCAGGGAGTCAGGTCCCCAAGCCCCAGAGTTGAGTGAAGGGAGGTCCACATCCGTCACCTCAAAGGACACAGTCATGTCCCTGGCCAGAGAGGACACTGCCCTTAGCTTTTAAAATAAGGACATACGTTTTTATTTGAGAGAGATTTTTTTCCTTTTTTTATATACATTTTTTTCCTCTAGGAAATAGACAGACGGTTGGAAAAAAAACTGAAGATCACACAAAAGGAGAGGTAAGGCTGCTGTCTGGTCCGAGGGCTGCGCCCTCTGCCATGTGAGAACTGGGCAGTCAGTGCTGCTCTGCGGCTGGTGGTCAGGGCTAGCGGCCAGGCTCCTGAGCCCCACCCTCAAGGGCACGGCGGCTTGAGGTCCGGGGGGAGGGGTGCGGGTGTTGCACCTGCCCTCCTGCCTCAGCGGGCACCCCGTGTGGGGTGGTTGGACGGCGAGTGGGGAGGTGGCAAGTCAGAAGGCGGGTTTTAGGCCTGGCTCTGTTCCCAGTTGCTCTGATGTTTGGGACAGGTTGTTTCCCCAGCCTGGACCTCAGTTTCTTTCTCTGTGACATGAGGAGGCTGGACAGATGATGTTTCTGGGTCTTTTGCGACTTGGTGGCATAGGGCATTATGGGGGTGTCCTGGCAGAAAAGATTCTCAGAAATCCTTAGGCCTTGAAGGGTAGCTCCGTTCCCCGTGCAGAGAGCAGAGGAGGTGGGCTCCAAAGCTCGGGAAAGGTGACTTCAACAGCCTGTCTTTGGGCTTAGGCACATGTCAGCTTCCCACGGGGACAAGTGACAGGGAGGAGGAGAGGGCCTCTCTGGGCTTGCCCAGTGGGCTACAGAGACGTTCCCCAGGGAACTCGGGGTGTCCGGCCTGCCCACTGGCGTTCCTGACTCCCTTCTTCTCTGATCAGATTGCCGGCTCCTTGTCTGCTCGTCTCAGCAGCCACGCCAGCAGCCGGTTACAGTCCCCGTGCCGTGCCATTCCCGTCCGCCCAGGACTCGTTTTGGTTCCCTGACAGCAGCTGCGTTCCTCTAGCCCCTACCCCTCCCGACGACCAAGGCTCTGAAAAGTCCCCCGTGGGCTCTTTGGTTCAGAAAAGAAGCTAGTTGACTGCTCTGGGGAGGGTCTTTGTGGCTGTTGAGGGGTGGGCGTTCCTGCTTGGACCCCTTTTCTCTGGTGGTTTTCGTTTCTTTTCCTTCCTGTGTTGTCCCCTCTCCTGTGGGCGCGTCGCTGTTGTGCGTGTCCACCAGCCTTGGACAGTGCTTCCCCTTGGAGCACTGCCAAGCGCTGCCTCCAGGATCGCCCCTCCCCCCAGCCCCGCTGCGTCCAGCACACCAGCGAGCCCTGGTGAGGGAGGAGGTGTCTGCGCAGAAGCCCTTCTGAAGAGGTGATCCAGCTGCTGGTGTAGTTTGTCTCAGGGAGGCACAGGCCACCCGCCAGAAGGCTGAGGCGGTTTGGTGAATCCTGTCTTGGTGCTAAGCAAGGACGGCAGAGCGGGCTGCTCGGTAGAGTTTGGTGTGAGCACATGTGCTGGAAGCCTTTGCTGGGAGGAAGCACTCGGACCCCAGCTAAGGGGCTCCCAGGATACTAGCCTGATCTGTGCAGGGAAGCCGGGATTTCAATGGAAGTCACTGGATTCTGGACGTGAAGTGTTTTGCTACAGGGGCCAAATAGTGGTTGTTGAACGTGATGAACAGGGGAATAGAAGTCCCAGAAAATGAGATGGCGTTCCAGTCCCCATGGCCTGGTGGCTGTGTGGGCTTATGCAAGGTTGCTCTTCTGCGAGACCCCTCTTGAGGAGTAAGAATTCGGCTCTCTGGTCAGAGACCAGCGAACACCGAGTGGGAATCGGCGGGGTGGGAGGAGGACAGCAAGGAGAGCCGGGTGTGGGGCAGGCATGGGGCCTCTGCAGCCAAGGGTAGGACTTGAAGCTGTGTTTGCTCTTTGTCAGCAGGAAATCCAAATCTCCTCCCAAAGTGCCCATTGTGATTCAGGACGATAGCCTTCCCACGGGCCCCCCCCCACAGATCCGCATCCTCAAGAGGCCCACCAGCAACGGAGTGGTCAGCAGCCCCAACTCCACCAGCAGGCCAGCCCTTCCGGTCAAGTCCCTAGCACAGCGGGAGGCAGAGTACGCTGAAGCCCGTAAGCGAATCCTAGGCAGCGCCAGCCCCGAGGAGGAGCAAGAGAAACCTATCCTCGACAGGTGAGTGTAGCTGGCAGGGCTGACTTGTCAGCCACCCCACCAGGCCACCTTGAGGAGGAGGATGGTAGCCTGGCTGTGTGTAGTGAGAAGCAGGCCGAACCAGGGCTGGAGCCACCGCAGCTCCAGCTGTCAACCCAGCCTCCTGGGCCAGCTCATTGGGCCGCACTGGCTCCCAGACTGCGCTGAACGATGAGGCCGTGCTTTGCTAGCACACCACCTCTGCAGACACCAGGGGGCAGGGTAGCAGAGAGGTTAAAGGCGTGGACTTTGAGTCAAAATCCGCTAGACGGAGTTGGAGCCCACTTCTGCCACTCATTTCAGCTCTGTCCTCTCCATAGACTAATCTGAAAGATGAGATGATGGTAGTACTTGTCTCATCAAACTGCTGTGCGGTTAAATGAGTGTGGGTTCTGGGAACCCTCCCTGGCACGATGGAGCGTGCCCAGTCAGTGCTTAGATGTTTTCCACTGGTTCTCATAATAGCCCACTGTGATGTTTTCGGGATTCTCTTTTATTCATGGTATTTTTTCTCTGCAGTCCTAGAGGTTGCATTTAAGTTTGTCCCCGCCCCCGCCAAACCAGTGTGTGTTCAGACAACTTCTTTCTCACTTTGAGAGGCCTCTTTGGGCCTTGGTGTTCTGCCACTTGAGCTGATCTGTGTACTTTCTTTTTACCCCTTCCTTAGTTAGGCTTCTGTTCTCCTCTAAGTGTTCACCTGGCAGAGCAGAAAAAGTCCATTTCCTTTAGTCTCCCATAGTAATAGGAGCCAACCATTAACCGCATGATCGGGAGAGAAGCAGGAGAACAGCGGTGGTGGGTGCTTGGTCCCTGCTAAGCTCCGGGTTAGGAGCCCCACACTCGGGAGGGTCTGTGCTCATGCCTCTCTGGAGGGTGTGCTGCCCAAGGTCACTGCCTCTGCATGGCGCGGGCCCTGGAGCCCTCCCCCTGCCTTCAGGTGAATGATGGTGAGCCACATGGGGGGCGGGAGTGCTGCAGGTGCTAGAGGTGGCCACGGGCCACCCGCCCCATGCAGGAGCTTCCCAGCCTGGAGGTGCCCTGAGTCCACCTGCCAAAGAAGCGGGCTCAGGGAGCCAGAGTTGGCTGATAGGCACTGTGACTTCTGCTGCAGCTGCAGGGGTGGTTGGTTTTAAGATCTGGGGACTTTTTTCAAATCCTTTTTCAGGCCTTCCTCTGATCTTCTCCCCCTCAGGCCAACCAGGATCTCCCAACCAGAAGACAGCAGGCAGCCCAATAATGTGATAAGACAGCCTTTGGGTCCTGATGGGTCACAAGGCTTCAAACAGCGCCGATAAATGCGAGCAAGAGAGGATGCCACCGCTGCCACCGTTATCGCCTCCTGGGTCATCCACCACGGGTTGCACTCCCGTGGCAGACAGCTGGACTTGAGCAGAGGGAAGGACCTGATTTACTTGCACTGTGATCCCCTTTGCTCCGCCCACTGTGACCTTGAACCCCATGCACTGTGACCTCCCTCTTTCCCCCCCTTCCCACTGTGATTGGCATGTCTACAAGGGCTGTCCCAAGTCAATGGAAAGGGAAAGGATCGGGGTTAGGGGACTTAAGAGTAGAGAGTCAAGACAGTGCCACTTGGCCACTTGGGGTAAAGCCAGTGCCAGCAATAACAGTTTATCATGCTCATTAATTTGGGATTTCAAAACAAAGGAGAACTCCCGTCCACTCACCCCCAAGTGCATGTCTTCATCACTTAAAAGCAAGTTCCATTTGAAAAATATCCTTTCTTTTTTTCCCTTCCTATTTTTGTTTATACAAATATCTGATTTGCAAGAAAAAGTGCATGGGAGGGGTTTTAGCAGTTTAATGAATTTTTAATTAAGAAAGGGTAGTTTGGTAGTCTACTTAAAAAATGTTTCTGGGAAATTCACTAGAAACATTAACCAGTAGGTTTTTGGTGAGCTTAGCTTCTGTATTCCTACTGCCGCCCAGAAAAGGGGCAGGGCTCTGTAGCCCCCAGGACAGATGAACACCCCATGCCTATACCTCCCTCCCCCCGGCTAAGTCCCAGGGCATCATGGCCCTGCCTGGAGACTGGGCTAGTTCTATAGGCTCAGAGAGCCTGGGGAGGGTGCCAACCCCACCTCTAGTATTTTGGGAGATGGGGAAAGTAAACAGACTTTCCCTTCCCATTCCCCTCAGGGTGGTTCCCTACCAGCCAGGCTTGCTACTTCTAGACGAGAGCGGGGAGTGAGGCTGCACTCCTGAGCGTGGAAGGAAGGGATGCGAGACTTGCTCGCTGTGTTGCTGTCAGCACAGGGAAGCCAGGGGAGAGTCTGGCCCCAGGACCCAGCTTCCTGCCTCATGTGTCAGGAAGGTGTCAGAAGGGGTCTGTCGAGGGCCGTCTCTGTTGATGGCACCAGCTGGGTACCTATAGCTGGTACATCTCCTTTGTGAAATCACTATCGTGGGAGCGACCGTTTGAATACATACGGGAAAGGACAAGCTGTGCGTTGCAAAGGTTGGTGATGACAGACTGGTTCCCTGTAGACCTAGGCTACCCTTCACTCTTTTTCCAGAGCGAGGGCCTGGAATGAAGGCAGTCTCCCCTCCGTCCCTGGAGCCTAGAGACTTGCTTGGCTCCTTGAGGAGGAAGAGACTGCGAGGGCAGCTGCCCAGAGCAGCTGGGTGTGTGCAGTCTGGCTCCCCGGGCTCTCTCTGCTCTCTTCTTTTGCACTGCGCCTTACCCCTCAGCCAGCCAGCCAGCCAGCCTCCCCACTCAGTGGACGAGCTTGGAGTGGCTGGCGCGACGTTTTTGTGACTAGGGCAGCTTGCAGTGCCCACGGTGACAAACTAGGTCTCGGGGGTTCGCTCCACCTTTGGTTCACCTGGCTCTCGGCCTTGCCCTGCGGGAAGGTAGGCCAGGCTCAGTAAGCCACGTCCCATCGCGTCTTCCCCTTAGAAGGGCCAGCTGCCCTCTGGATCAGCAGCTAGTCCGTGGTGCAGCCGTGCCGCGGTGTGAAGCCAGGAAACCGTCTGTGAGGAGTAGCGCTGGAACAGGGCTTGGGTCGGTGAGAGCCCACAGGGTGTTGGGTTACGCCCAGAGCCTGGGGGAATTTCCCCCAGGAGCGGGTGAGGGAGAAGGTTGGCTGCTGTTTTTATAGTTCCACTGCCCTGACCAAGTTTCCTCATGCTAAATGTCTAGTGTCCATCCCTCATGTAATAGTGGTTTCTGGCCCAAAGTGAGACTGTCCTTTCAGCTGGAGGAAGGTACAGAGGTAGGCCAGGTGGAGGGCCAGAAGTGCTGATTGCCCAGCCGCTGGGACACGTGTTCTTGCCCTTCTCACCCTCCCCTAGGGGGCCAGAGGGAAGACTGGCTGATGGGTGTTCGTGGACCGAGGATGTAGTAGGGACTGGTGCTCCCACCTCCCTCTGGCCAAAGATGGGGCTCTGCCCGCCGTGTGCCTGTCACCACCCACTAGCAGTCGGATCCTTGGTTTCCCGGACGGAGAGGTAGCAGGCAGGTTTTTCATTTTTAAAGAAATGAAAACAGGAAACTATTGGGGGAGGTGGGAGGGGAAATGGGAGAACGGTTTGGATTTTGTGTGTGTGTGTTGTTTTTTTCTTTTTTTTGGTAGTTGTCTGTAACTTTCCTTAAGTGCTTTTTTTTAAAAAACTTTTTTTTTTTTAAGTAAGCTGCAGGCTTTGGCTTGGAAAACCCCAGGAGGGTGGGGGGCAGAAACTGGAGGCTGCTGCCCCTTTATCTGCCTTCATGGTTCTGTCCCCTTCCCCCGGCTCCTCCCTGACCCCATGAGCCAGGCCTCAGACCTCCCAGCTAACTGCTTCCCATGAGCCACTACTCTGTTGTCAGCCTATAACCAAAGGAGCTGGGGGTCCGGGCCTGGTGACCAACCCTTCTCAGCCCACTCAATCAGGGTGCTCCCCCCCTGCAGGCAGGAGGCAACACCCTATCTGCTACCATCAGCCCCTTCCAGAGCCCACTGCCCCGCCCCGCCCTGTCCAGCCCAGCCATACCCTGCTCCGCCCCATCTGGGGGTGCTCTGCTCAGGGATGGGCCGGTAGGGCTGCCCCAGCCTCCCTGGTAAGCAGAGACTCTGGAAACCTCTGGGGTCCTGTTTCCTGGCCACGTGATCCCAAGGGTGCACGCGGACCCCTTGGGTGTCTGAACAGAAGGGCATGGGAGGGAGGGCCGCACCCCTGCAGTCCTGCTCTGCTGGTCCAGCGGGCACCTGCCCACCGCACCCCGCACCGCGGGCTCCTGAGTCGGCAGATTAAGCATTTTATAAATTGTATTTTAAATACATGTTTTAAACTTGTCAAAGCCTTGTCCTCGTTTCAGTCCTTGGCCTCCTAATTTCTTGCTGCGGCTGTGTATTTAACCACTGGGAGCTGTCTCGGCTCAGTCCCAGGGAGGGGCGTGCTCTCTGTTAGAGAAGCAGGCCTGGGGTGGTGTGTGTGTTGGGGGACAAGGAGCCGCACCTTTAGGCTCCAGGGGAAGGGGCCTCCAGGTCCTGGGGCTCCACTGGCGAGAGCGTGGGTGAGGCACTCCCTGACCTCCCATGGGGTCTTTCCCAGGCACTCCCCTGTGCTTACCACTCGCAGAGAGCAAGCGGACAGAGTTCCTGCCTTTGTGGGGCTCCTAGTTTAGAAGGAAAGACGCATCTGAGGAGAACCCCAGCTCTGTCCTTTGGGAGTGCACAGAAGATCAAGAATTTGCACCCAGGGCCACCTCTAGCTAGAACCCTGACCTTGGGCAGGGTTTCGAGGTGCCTCTTGCTTCAGGGGTTCTCAAGCCTGAGGGCGGCTGGGGCCTTGTGCCCTGAGAGCCTAGTGGAGGAGTGAGAACCTGGGGGGGGGGGGGGCCTTCCCTGGCACCAGGACGACAAGGAAGCAGGTGAGTGTCCAGAGGGCAGGGGCCCCTGGACCACTCACAGAGGCCGAGATTCTTGGTGTTTATTGGCTTACCAGGCCACAAAAGCAAAATCCAGCAGTGTCCCTGCCTGATGACATCTGTCCGCAGGCCTCTAGCAGCTGTCCAGAGTCAGGACTCTGCAGGGTCAGTGGGTTCGAGCCGGCCCAGAGCTGTGGTCCCTAGGGAGTGAGGGGGGGAGACAGTGGGAGGAAGCGAGCCACCCCGTGTGCCCAAGGGGAGAGGCGGCCTTCCCTGGGAAGTGATGAAGCTGGTCGGGCCCAGGGGCCTGGTTCCGAGTCCAGTGTTCCCTTATCCCCAGAGAGCCGGGAGGGGAATACTGCCGGGGGGCTTCCCTTTACTCAGATGCCACGTCTGTTTCCTGCTGCTCCTAACATGGACCCAGACTTGGGACAGGACTTGAGTGTTAAACCCCTTAATGAGAAGGCAGGTAGGGCCAGCCCGAGAGAAAGACAGCATGTGCCACTGAGTCCTGGGCACGGGAAGGCAGACGTAAGTACCCTGACTTCTGAACCGTCTGCTTGGTGCACCGGCCTTCAGCAAAGGTTCATCTTTCCCCTTCTTTTTGCTCTGTAGCAACAGTCTCCTGGGCATCATTTCTTGGAAGGGTGGATTCTCAGGTTAGGCCAAGGGCCTAGAAAGGAAAGAGGTGGGTGGGCCCAGGCTGGGGCCCTCTAGTCTCCAGGCACCTACCTGCTTCCTCGAGATCCTGGCTGGATTAGGAGGCTATGGATGTCGGAGCCCAGGCCGATGGGGTTGCACTGGTCCAGCACGTAGTGGCTGCCCTGCTTCCTGCCAACCATCTTGTCCAGCCTCGGGCAGAGTGGGACGCAGGGCACCTGGGCGTAGGGGCTCTGCAGGTTGGCAGCTGTTGACGGAGGAGAAGGCAGGAGAGGGGAATGCTTGAAAATACACCCAGCCTTGGGAGGCAGGCAGATCCTGGTGAAACCCCAGCTTTGCCACGTAACGAGCTGAGTGGGTTTGGGCACATCAGCTCTCCCAGCGTCTGCACAAGTTGGAGAGAGTGATGCCCACCTCCCAGTGGATGATGAGGATTAAAGGGAGAGTTCATGCAAAGCGCTCAGTCAGCTAAATGCTGAGCACAGGGTAAGGGCTAATAACCACTTAGAAAGATGTCTTTTGTGGTGGGTCCTGGCAGAGCTGGTGGGCACACTCCAGACTCTGGAAGGCTCCTAGCTCATCACTCGGCCCGCAGCGGGAGTCTAATAAATAGTAACGGCTGTTAACGACTGTTACGGGGAGGTTGCCTCGCCCAATGAAAAGAGCACAGGTTTTAGAGTTAGAGCTGGGTCTAAACTCCCTTTTTTAACCTGTGGAAGCTTGGGCAGGTTGCTTTGATTTACCCAGTTGATTTTTTGTAAAACGGTAAATATGGAATTGTGGGGATTCAATTCTAGCCCATCTGCGAAGGACCTAACTCAGAGAGCGACTCTGGTGGCTCCTGGTCCCTGGGACCAACCCGTGGTCAGGACTAAGGCACCGGGAAGAATCTGCTGAGGGCCTTTGCCGGGGGCCTGGAGGTGGGGTAGTGATGATCAGACCATGGACGGGTGCACACAGCCAGCCCTAGGGGGGAAACCATGTCTCTCAGCTCTCGGTTTGGCCGTGTGGGGGCCCACGGGGAGGGGCCAATACACAGGACAGCAGAGTCCCCACCTTGTCCAGGGCCCTCACCATAGTTCTGCTGCTTCAGGCGACTCAGGATCCTGAGGACCCTCCGTTCTGGGACTTCCAAGGTGTCTGCCAGCTGCGGGTTGTAGGGAAGCTTCTTCCGGGACCGCAGCCGGCCTATGGCTGATTCCATCTCGTGGGTCTTACCCGTGCCTTCCTTCAGCTTCTTCTGGTAATAGCTGGGGAGGCAGTGCCGCCCAGCTGAGCCTGGCCGAGTTTCAGTCCCCCTCCCCCTCCGTCCCTCTCCCCTCGGTTCTGTCTGGTCAGCTCTGGAGCAGGAGCAGACTCAGGAGTTGGGAGGCCTGGGTTTCAGTCCCAGCGCAGCCATTAACCTCCTGTGACATGGGCCAGTCACGGCTCCGCTTTGAGCCTCCGTCACAGTCCTCCCTCTGTGAATGGGGGGGTGGGGTGGAGGGAGAATGGTTCTCTCATCCCTGTCACTGCACGTCACTTGACCTGTCTGAGCTTTAGGGGTCCCCTGGATGAAATGGATCAAACAGTCCACACATTACAGGGTTAAAGAACAAGGCCAGTTGTCGTCCTGCAAACCAAAAGTTCGCCGGTTCAATTCCCACTCGGCGCATGCCTGGGTTGCCGGCCAGATCCCCCACGGGGGGCATGTAAGAGGCAACAGGTCGGTGTTTCTCTCCCTCTCCTCTCTCTCAAAATAAATAAATAAAATAAAGAACAAAAACAAGGTCTATCAAGCACTCAGCATTGTGTGGCCCAAGGAAAGAGCTTGGTGAACGTTACCTTTTATTTCTGTCACCGATATTTTTATTGTACTTAGATGTGCAAGTGCCGTATAAGTCAGCTGTGCAGTTAACTCCTGCTGGTCTTCCTGATTTCGGCGTGAGGGCTGTCCCCTCCAGAAAGTTCTGGCTCCTTCTGCAGAGCAGCTTGACTCCCAGGGCGGGGCCCCAGTAGCCTGTACTTACCGCATTTGTAACCCACAGCTCATTTTATTCCAACACACCGCCACCTGCCTTTTCTCCACGAGACTGCACACCATTCATTCATTCATTCATTCATTCCACAAATGTTGTGGAGTGTTGACTGCGTGCCGGCCACCCGTCTAAGTACTTGGGGAAGAGCGGTGCAGGGCACGTACTCATTTAGGGTCTCTCATTACAGTCCCTCGGCCCCACCTCTCACTCTAGCCACGCGTGCAAGGGCTCCCCCCAGCTTTGCTCAGTCACCACCTGCCATGGTCTTGTCTCCGGCCGGAGCCCCTTGTTTCCTGTCCCCGAGCGGCTCTGACCCACGTGCCACCCGGAGGTGCAGGGGAATGAAACACCTTGTGGGGGGCCACCTTTGGGCAAAGGAGCCAGCGGCCGAAGTATACAGGCTTCTCTCTCTCCCCCTGATGGAGTGCTGAGCCCGTCATAGTCTCCCAAGTTCCACTCCCAGTCCCAAGTGGGAGTGGTTGACCCACTAGCACCTCCTCGTATTGGCGCCTCCTCCTCTGCTGTTCACGCCCCTTCCCCACTCCTGTTCCCGGGAGTTACTTTCTAAATCAACTACCGAGCCAGACCGTGAACAAATAAGTAAAACACGGCACCACGGCAGTAGTGACGGATGCTTTCGGGGAAAGTCAGAGCTGGGTAGGGGGAGTGACGAGGGGCCATTTTGGATCTTGGGGGTGGTGGCATTGGAGCAGAATGGGAGGGGGGAGCAAGCCAAATGGAGACCTGGAGGGAGCGGCAGGTGAAAAGGCGGGAGGTTATGTGAGAGCTCGGCGCCCTCTAGGAATCGCCAGGAGGCGTGGGGGGGGGGGGGAGTGGGGACATGCGGGCAGCAGGATGGCAGGGCCGGCCAGCCCAGGGCTTTGTAGGCAGCGGTGTTGGGAAACCATTAGGGCTTTAGCTGATGGTTCTGCAAGGGCCTCTGTCTATCCCTGGGGCCTGGAACTTTGGGGTTTAATGGGCTTCACACACAAACTAGAAAATGAATACTATGGCCTTCACATGGAGATTGGATCCAAACCCCCATGTAAAACTGGAATCTGAAGAGGTAGTGCACTGCATGAAAAATGGACGAGAAAATAGCCCTGGCTGGTGTGGCTCAGTGGACTGAGTGCCAGACTGCGAACCAAAGGGTTGCCGGTTCAATTCCCAGTCAGGACACATGCCTGGGTTGTGGGCCAGGTCCCGAGTAGGGGGCACGTTAGCGGCAACCACACATTGATGTTTCTCTCTCCCTCTCTCCCTCCCTTCTCCCTAAAAATAAATCAATAAAATCTTAAAAAAAAAATAACTCCACTGCACAGGGGCCAGGAGGACATGAGCCGTGTGAGCACAACTCTCACACTCGCAGTTTTAAAGGGAATTGTGCTTTTCACCTCCTCTCTTCCCCCGCCCTGTGGGCTTGACTTCAGGTGCGTGGCTGGTAACTTAGCTTAGGGTTGACCTAGGGAACGGTGAGCTGGAAAGGAACTGGGTGCTTGGGGGGACCTTGTCTCCTGCCTGCTTCCTCCAGGCTGTCGATCCAGGAGAGGAATAAACTATCTTGCTTGAATATTGGGGTGATGCCTTCACTAAGACACTGAGAAGTCTATGCCCAGCCAACCTATTTAATATGTTTGGGGTAGAATAAACACTTTTTGCAGACTTAAACATTCCACCTCCCACACATCCTTTCTCAAGAAGCTACTACAGATCACGTGTTCTTCCAGAACGAGGGCATAAACCAAAAAAGAAAAGGAAGATACACGTACCGAGCTCGGGTCTAACTCGGGAGAGAGAGACAGAGGTGAAGGAAGATACAGGGAGATCCCACAGGCAGTGTGACCGCCACGTAGGACAACCAGTCTCCATGGGATCACTAATGGCTTCAACGACAGAAATTTCAAGGGCTGGCAGTCCTGTGCCTGTTGTTGAATTACTCCTGCCTTTAAAAAAAAATCCTCACCTGAGGATATGTTTATTGGTTTTAGAGAGAGAGAAAGGGAGGGAGAGGGAGGGAGGGAGGGAGGGAGGGAGAGAGAGAGAGAGAAACATCAATGTGAGAGAGAAACGTCAATGTGAGAGGGAAACGTCATTTGGTTGCAGGGCCCTATGGGTACCATGACCGGGGACTGAACCTGTGACCTAGGAGTGTCCCAGACTCAAAGCCTCAACTTTCTGGTGTACGGGACAATGCTGTTGAAAGAGCCTGTAGGATCAATCACTTTTTGCTACGCTTACACCGTCAAGCCAAGTTTAATGAGACTAGACTTATTTTTACAAACAAATTAGTCTCTGATTAGCTTTGATAAAAATGGGGGTGATTGTAGAGAAAAATAGTCTGTGTTTCAATAAAAACTCGAACGCACCTTTGTGGGTTGTTGAACGGTGCCAAGTTCACTGAGTTCTTTGTCCCCTTTATAAACGGACTTCTGCCATTTCGTGCATTTTGTCGGTAAGTAGCATTTCCAGTTTTTCTCCCACCCTCCAGACCTGGCGTCTCTAAAATCTAGCCTGCCCTGAAAACTAAAGCTGAAGGAGTAATACAAATTTCCCCCCACAAAATCATGACGGACCATGCATACACAACCTCCGTGCCTGCAACCATATGGGCCATTCCTCAAGTTCACTGGAACATCCATCCGGTCACTCAGTGCCGCCACCAAAGACATTTAAACTGCAAGCCGGGAAATTGATCAGAGGGCCACCGCCTGTCCTCACCCCACCATCTGAAGATGCTTTCAGCCCCAGGTGTAAGCGTCGTCTTCTTGACCCACTGTCCTCCGGACTCAGAAACTGAGCTTACAGTCTGTACTCATCTTTAACTTGTTTCGCTTTTGTCTCGAAGAAATGGCCCTCATGAAATGCTTGATTGCTCACACCACATGCAGGCCTCACTCCCGTGGCGGGGCCCCTCCGCGCACCTGCTCCAGCACCTCTGCAAGGGAGCCACGAGTCTGGACCGGCCCGCCCCCAGGACTAATGAGAGGCTGGCCCGGTGAAATACGGGACGGCGTGCTCAGATGTGCCCTTTTCCGCTCGTTCCAATCTATGTTTTCCTCCCCCTCTTACAGAGCCCTCGGCTCAAATTTCTCTCCACAGCCACCAGCTAAGCTTTTAATATGTGAAACTTCTAGGGAAGTTTTCGGGCGGGGGAGTGGGGGGACAAAGGAGTTCAGGACAGGCCACCCCAAAATAGGCTACTTTGGTGTATTGGTTATTTTGAGTGAAAGGCACTTGAAAAACAGCAGATGCAAAAAGGACACCCTGATGTTCCTTTTTCCGAAAGCTAGACAAAACATTCCCACATGAGAGGTGCCCACCCTGTGCCAGGAGAAAAAAACATTCTTTTTTTTTTTTAAATGCACACTTGAGGATACGCTTATAGACTTTAGTGGGCGGGGGGGAATATCAATGTGAGAGAGACAGAGAGAAAGATGTGCCCCATCCAGGGTTCAAACCCGCAACCTAGGCATGTGCCCTGACCGGGGATCGAACTTGCAAACTTTAGGTGTAGGGAGGACACTCCAACCAACGGAGCCACCCAGCCAGGGCACTTAAGTCAGTCTTGTTTGGGTTTCTTTCACTGGCCACTCACTGTCAAAAGTGCCGTTTGTGTGTCCCACCCCGCCCCCTCCGACAGCCAGCCCCACTCACTTGGTGATCTCCTCTAAGGCTGCCTCGGGTAAGGCCAGCATCTCCACCAGCAGGGACAGGATCTCGAAGAGCAGAGTGTGGGGATTCGGGGGAGCCACGTCCGTCGAGGCGTTCTGTTCTGGGGACATGGGATGGTGGCTGCCATCACCATTTGCGAGCCCCGGGTGCTCCCCACCCGCCTCCACCCGGTCCCTCCCCCGGCTCGGACGGCCCTGGGTTCATCCCTGCTCACCCACGGAGCAGAAGAAGCGCTTGGTGTCCGTCATTACGGCCAAGAAGTCTTTGAAGCCCACGTGACCATCTCCTGTGGAGGCCAGAAGAACACGGGGTGGCCAGGGGCCTTCCCGAGCGGGTTCAGGCATTGCAACCCAGGCATGATTGTTAATGTTTACTCGTGGGGTTTGATGATAAAAGTAGCTCGTATGCAATGCAGCAAGCATGGCGCACGCAGGAAAGTAGAAGGCAAAAATGAACCTTCCCTGGGTTAGAAGCTCCCAGAACGTGAGTCCTTCGAGGCAGCAGTCTGGGTTCACAGCCCAGGCCCACCACTTACTCTTCGTGTGACCTTGGTACGCCTCTTACTGCCACTAAGCCTTAGTTTTCCCATCTATAGGGGGAGGACGAACATCATAGCTACCTCACGAGAGAGAAAATGAGGCACAGTACTTAGAACACGGCCATGCATCTAGTACGTGCTCACTCAATAGTAACTGTTGTTATTAGTACTGTGTGCTCGTGACCGCGTGAGAATACATGCGCATACATAAGGCTCCCGCCTGGGCCTGCAGGGCCCTGCTAGACCTGCCTGTCACCTGTCTCCAGCCTCACCTGGTGCCGAGTTCCTCCAGCACTTCCTGCTCGCCCACCAGGGACCACGTTCTTCCCTGTTCAGACCCTCTGCACCGTGCCGCTTCCTCTTCCTAGCATTTGCTGTCACCCTCCAGCTCCCTCCAACTCCTTCCCCTGGACCACCCCTTCCTCGGGGAAGTCAGAGCGGCCCAGGTTGCTCCCCCATCAGACACTCTCATACAACCCCTGAACTTCACCCGCACACTCAGCAGCTCTGGAATTTCGTGGAGGTTCTGGGGAGGTGGCGGGAACTGGGCCCGTTTTGTTCTGCGCTGTGTCCTCCGGGCCTAAGGCAGGCAGGTCTTAGCCACTGTTCTCTGAACTGCCTGATGAATGAATCACCTCTAACCCTCCAAACCAGCGTCTAGGGGGCATCAGTACTCTTATCCCCACGTCACAGATGAGGCCTGAAGCTGAGGCCTGAAGCCTAGAGAAAAGAAGCTTCTTGCTAGGGTCTTGTAGCGGCAGAGCTGGGGTCAACGCTTGGCTTGTGTGTGAAGACTCCCACTCGTGCAGGGAGCAGCGGGGAGCAGCGATCAGGGTCCCAGGCCCTCCACAGGCCCGCTGCTCCCCACGCCCTGTGCCCTCTTCCCCGAATCTAGGTCATTGCTTCCACCAGGAATGCCCCCTTTTCTCTCTCGTCTCCTTGCCTAACTGCTGCTTAACCTCTCACGATTTGACTCAGGCATCCCCTCTCCTAGGAAGCCTTCCTCCCTGACCCCTGGCTCCACGCCACCTTAAGTGCTGCTTCCTTTGGGGACTCTTTCTTCTGCATCAGTGTCTGTGTGAGCACCTCAAGAGCAGGCTGTGTAGGTCTCATGTGTCTCTTTACTCTCAGCACCCACCTCCGGGCTGTGCGCACAGGGGGCATTTACTATCTAGCGGCTGAACGATACTAGCAGCTAATGTCTTCTGGATGCATTCCGCGCACCAGGTGTTTGGCTCAAAAATGCTTTGCCTGGGTTATCTCATCAAATGTTTTCAGCAGCACAGTGCAGTGAATACTGTCACCAGCTCTGTTGTACAGGTGGGGAAACTGAGGCTTGGTGAACTTCAGTGACTTGCCCAAGGTCACACGGTTGGTAAAATTAGTGACCAAGTCACAGGGGAATGTCCAGTGAAGCACACCCGGAGGGCTGGAAGGAAGGGGTCTCAGAGATCACGTGCATCTTGGGGCCAGCAGGTCAGTCTTGGCCATCTGGAGTCCCCAGACCCTGGCACGGAGTGGGGGCTCAGAAGGTATTAACTTTTAGGGCCAGGGCAAGCTGCATAATTTGTAGGGTCCAGTGCAAAAGGAAAATGCAGACAACATTATCAAAAATCCCTATCCCTGACTGGTGTAGCTTAGTGGGTTGGGCATTGGTCACCGGTTCGATTCCTGGTCGGGGCACATATCTGGGTTGTGGGTGAGGTCCCAGGTTGGGGGTGTGTGAGAGGCACCTGATCGATGTTTCTTTTCCCCCTGCCTTCCCTTCTCTCTAAAAATAAGAAAGTAAAATCTTTTAGAAAGAATTTCTACTCCCCCACAGCAGGGCATTCAACCAAGGGCGGGGCCCCTTACACTCAGAGCCCCATGCAACCTGACCGCCGCGGCCCCGCCCCGCTCACCGTCCACGTCGGCGCTCATCAGGGCCTCCTCCACCTGGGCCGGCGTCAGGGAGATGCCCACGAGGAGCAGGACGCTCTCCAGGCTGCGTGCGTCCACCTCGCCGTGGCCACTGAAGATCTCGAAGTAGCTGTGGAAGGCTGGGGCGGGCAGTGGGGTTACAGGACGTGGGGACATTTCTCGTTTCTACCGTTCGTCTCATCCCCTCCAGCCACCCTCTTGCCCAGTGTCCTCTACTGGCACACGGCTGGGTGGAGGGACAAAGGAACAGAAGAGTGAAAGTGGAGGGGTGTGGTCCCACTGCCTTACTCCACGCTCTATTCAAAGTCAGACCAAGGGCCCAGCCGGCGTGGCAAAAGCCAAGCTACTGAGCAACCTCCAGGCTGCACCAGGGGCGCCCTCTCTGCGCCTGGCCCTGCGCTAAGCTCTTTATTGCCACCTTCCCATTCAACTCTCACAAACAGCCTTGTGAGAGCGGGGTGCTTGTTTCTTTTGTAAAGCTGGGGAAACTGAGGCTCAAAGAGGTTAAGTCGCCCACAAGACAGGTTTTTCTGACTCTCAATCTGCACCCTTGACTTCGGTGTTCTGTAGTCCCTTGTCTGCACGAACAGGGCTCCTAGGGTAGCTTCCGTTGCCTGGACCAGACAGGGCAGAGGACCCGGAGGGTGCCGAGAAAGTAACAAAGTACTGTGTACTTTGTTCTTTTTGTACTTTTTGTACCAGCCGTAGGGCCGGCTGGTACAAAAGCCTCGTCCTGGTCACGGCATGTGTAGTGCCTGGTTTCTCAGCCCACAGCAAGGTGCGGGTTAGCATCCGCAGACCTGGTGAGAAGACCGGCTCAGGACTGCGGTCATGGGCTGAACCGTGTCCCCCCGAAATTCCTATGTTGAAGCCTTAACCCCCGGGACCTTAGAATGTGACTATGTTTGAAGAGGGGGGTCTTCAGAGGTGATTAAGTTAAAGTGAGGCCACGAGGGTGGCGCTTAATCCGATCTAATTGGTGTCCTTGTAAGAAGAGGACATTTGGGTGCACAGAGACACCAGGAATGTGCTCACGCACAGGGCAGACCACGTGGGGACACGGGGGAAGGCGGCCATCTGCGAACCGAGGAGAGAGGCCACAGGAGGAACCACACCTGCCAACGCCTTGACCGTAGGCTTCCAGCCTCCAGAACTGAGAGGAAATGAATCTTAAGCCACCCAGTTTGCGGCACTCTGTTAGGGCGGCCCAAGTAAACTAGTCCAGTTGCCATGGGTGAGGCCCTGCCCTTCTCTGAGCCTCGACTTTCTCATCTGGAAGATGGACATAGCCGTGCACCCTCCAGGAGCGGCTGTATGAACTCAGTGCCTGGCCTGTAACAGACCCTGTAAGCCTGCAAAAGTCAAGGGTGGGGTCATAAGGAGCCAGAGCGTGCGCTCAGAACAGGCAGCAGAAAGGGCCACAGTGGCCAAGAGGGTCCCAGATTCTGGGGAGGAGTGAAGGGCGGAGGAGGATGCACACCCGCTCTTCCAGGGCCAGGGCCAGGGCCAGGTGTGGCCAGGCTGGCAGTGTGCTCAGAGGGCCAATCAGGCGACCTCTGGAGCCCACGGGCAGCAGCGATCAGGCAGGCGGAGAGCGTTCCAGGGCCCAGCCCCAGGGATGGTGGAGAGCAAAACGCACAGCACCTCGCCCAGGGTGGGTGTTCGGAACGTGTACATTTTCAGGTGTGGGTAGGATGGGGTGGGCCGTGGGCCCTGCCTCTCACCCAGGCTGCTTCTAAAGAGGACCAGTAGAGTGGGCCCGGGTGGGGAGAGGCCAGACACCTCCGAAACTCTGGCAGGCTTGCTTTGATCGCTCAGTGTGGTGGCCGTGGAGCCGGGAAGCATACTGGGCCCCAAACCAGAGGACCCTGCTCGAGGCCTTGCCCCCCACTCTCCTACCCTGCACTGCCCCCTAGCCAGATAACCCCCTGGGTCCACTCGCAGGGCTGGGTAGGGGCACAGGGCAGCAGTATGATCTGAACCTACCCTCACCCCAGGTCTAAGAACCCCGAAGCACTGAGGGTTGCCCCTGCCCCTGTGAGAGCCTGCCCCGGCCAGGCCCGCGCCCACCTTCCTCCTGCTTCAGGGTGAGGTGCTCCTCCACCAGCTCCTCCCAGTTCTGAGGCAGCTGCAGCGGGCTGCCCTCCTCCAGCTCCTGCCTGCAGAGGACAGGGCCGGGCTGGGGGGCCGCGTCCGGCTGCCAGCCCCTGCCTACGGCCGCCCCCCAAAGCAACAGGAGGGCGAGGGGGAGGGAAGCCGGGGCAGAGGAGGTCATGGGCAGGACCCAGGGGGAGGCTTTGAGAGGTCAGGAGGGGCTGAGTGACCCAGGGGAGGGGCAAGAAAAGAGGCGAGGGAGACCAGATGTGAGACTCGAGGGGCGATAGGAAGAGAAAAGGGGTCCGGAGACCTAGATATGGGGACACGGCACTGGTGGAGAGGACACAGAAGCGAGGAGAAATGGAGAGTGGGACACACAAAAGGAAACAGGAGCAGTGGCAGGGATGAGAGTCTGGGGGTCAGAGGCTCTGGCCCTGGGCACCCCTGTTGGGGCGGCTCCTACCGTGCCTTGGCGTGGCTCAGGCTCCTCTCGCCGCCCTGGTGCAGGAGTGCTGCCTTTCTCCAGCCCGCCTCTGGGGCGGGCGCCGGCAGGACCGTGCCAGGTGCAGAGGCTGGGGCCGGGGCTCCCACGGGGGCAGGGGCCGGCCCGGGGGCTGGTGGCCGAGCCCAGGAAAGGGGTGCCGTGGGGGCCGAGGCCGGGGTCTGAGGCAGCGTCAGAGGCAGGCTTGAGGCTGAGGTGGACACCGGGGTCAGGGTCCTGGGAGACTTCCGGCTTGGCAGGGCTCGAGCCTTGGGGGCCCTTCGCTGCGTGGCCTCCTCCTCCTCCACCTCCAGCAAGCACCTCATGAAGCTCTGCCAGCTGCTGCTCCCCTGGTTCTGCACACCCGTGGTCGCCGTGGGCTCCTGAGGCTGCGTCTGGGCGCAGTCCAGCTCCTTCCTCTCACCAATGTCCCTCGCCTCCTGGGGACAGAACAGAGGGAGAGAATTGGGGAGGCCTCCAGCGGCCCAACTGTCCCACAAAGTTTCTCTGTGCCCCCACTGTCCGGGGCATCCTCACACTGCCCCTTCCTCTCTGGGGCCCTGGAGGATGCCCCCAAATCTCACAGGCACCCCACCAGGGGCTCCCTTGCACTTGACCTGGGCTCTGCCGCCTCCCGGCTCTCTGAGCTGTGGTCCCACCACTCATTCATTCCCCTCGCTGCAATCAACACGGCCTGCGGTTGTCTGGCCAGAGGGGTAAGCTTCCTGAGGGCCTGGACCTCATCCGCTTCTTTCATCCTTGTCTACCCAGCACCCCGCATATGGTGGGCACTCAGTAAATCCCCACTCACTGGTTCAGCAATCCACCCGCCCGCTGCACCCTCCCATCACAGGGATGGCCGTGGTCGTCAGGCCACGCCCTGCAGGCTCTAGCCTGGCCTTTTCTCTCAGAGATGCTGCTCTGAGTCTCACACATACACCCCCTTTCTTCCTCCAGCATCAGCTCTGCTTCCCCACCAGACTGCTCCCACGAGCATGCAAGCATCCATGTTATCTTCCTTCTTTAAAAGATAAAATACTCTGCCCTGGCTGGTGTAGCTCAGTCGATTAAGCATGGGCTGCGAACCAAGGGGTTGCCAGTTCAATTCCCAGTCAGGCCACGTGCCTGGGTTGCAGGCCAGGTCCCCAGTGGGGGCCACATGAGAGGCAGCTACACACTGATGTTTCTTTAACTCTCTCCCTCCCTTTCCCTCTAAAAATAAATAAAATCTTTAATAAAATTAAAATTAAAATTAAAATAAAAAAATAAAAATAAATAAAATAAATAAAATAAAATAAATTTAAAAATAAAATAAAATAAAATAAAATAAATAAAATAAAATGAAGGCAAAACAGTCTTCTGATGCTACAAACCCCTCCAGCTACTATCCTGGTTCTCTGTTTTCTTTAGAGCAAAATTTCTTGAAGGCCCCGGCTGTCCTCCATCTCCAGTCAGCTTCCGCCCACCACTCCCCAGAGCTGTTCTCACAGGGCCACGCTCAGGTCTCTGCCCTCCTCAGCGTGCACCCCTCAGCAACGGTGGCCACAGATGACCGCCTGTCCTTCTGCAGGTGCTTTCTCCTCTAGACTTTCACTCTCGCTGGCCGCTCCTCCCCGCCCTCATCTGCTCTTCCTCGTTCTTCCATTTCTGAGTGCTGTGGGTGGCGGGCAGCGCGCCGGGGATTTGGCCTCGGGCTCCTTCCTGCGCTAAGCTCACTCTCTCCTAGAGGTTATCTCCTAGAGGTTGTTCTGACATGTGCACCTCCAGCCCTGACTCCAGGTGTTCTCCCTGGCATTTCTCCCAGAGTCTAGAACAGGACTGAAGCAGAACTTTAGGTTCCTCCCGCTGCTCCTTCCCCAGCGCCACCGCCTCGGTTGAGGACACGGCCTGCTGCTCGGGGGCCCAGACCCAGAGGCCTTTGTGATTCCTCTTTCTCTTCCTCTTCCTCTCCCACCGCACAGCCCACCGGTGAGTCCTGCTGCCACACCCCCCATCCCTGCTGCTGCCCCCTGGTCAGGTCATACCACCATCTCCCGTCCAGTGGGCCCCCACCCAAGTTCATTATCCACCCCACTGCTACATCAGTTTCCAGATTACATCACTTCATCTCATTCCCTTGCCTAAAACTCTTCAACGGCTTAGTGTAGAGTTAGAATTCACTCCACACCCTCACCCTGGACTTCAAGGCCCTGGGTGGCCTGTCCCCGGCCATGCCTCTAACCTCCTCTCCCGTCCTCTCCTACCCGGGCTTCATTGCCCCACTCCAGCCTTCTTGCTGGACTTGGTCGTGACAAGCTCGTGTCCATCAGGGCCTTGCCACCGCTGCTGGTTCTGCCCAAATGTTCTCCAAGATTCGTGCACAGCTTGGACCCTTCTGTCATTTGAGACTTAACTCAAATATTACCTTCTGGACTGCGGAGCAATCCGTCAGAGGATCTATCGTCTCCCTCTAAGACCTTCCCCTCGTCCAGCCTGACTGGCGCCACTGCCGTCCACAGAGAAACTAGGTATCGGTTCACCTGTTAGCCGTCTCCCCCAACTAGATCGTAAGCTCCATTCAGCATTAAGTCCCCGATGTCAGGACTGGTGCACTGTCTTCAATACATTTGTGTTAACCAACGACCCCGATTATGTCCTTTTTCTTGGTGACCTGTGAGGAGCCAGCTCACATGAACAGAGCACGTAGCGCAGACGAGCTGAGAATTCTGCAGCCCAGAGGGAGACTCTGCTTCCCCGCCGCTAGTCCCCTTTGACTGTTTTCCTGAATTGAGGGCAAATGCTCAGCTTCTGTCAGGCTTCAAACCAGTATCACAAGCAGTTCTGGAAACTCCTACTCCGCGGTGGTGGGGGAGGTCCCAGGCAGGGACCCCAGGTGGCAGCCGTGAGCCCAGTCTGCCATCACCTGGCCAAAGTCCAGGGCCTGTGGCCCCGACTCAGATCCAGATTCTGAGCCCCAGGAGGGTAGGGGTCCGTCTCAGAGCCTCCCCGATTATTCCAGGACCCCGCACTGAGCTTGGCTCCTTGCAGTCGCTCAGCTCCAGGGAAGGATGATGCCAAGGCCTCCACATCTTTCCTCGTTGCTTTCAACACTTGCACATCTGGCTCCTCCCCCTTCCCTCCCTGAGCCCCTCCCACCTGGCATCACATGTTTTGCACCAGCTGCTGAACTGACCTCTGGGTAGCTCTTCTGCCAGTGCCCTGCTACTCCTGGGCCTGCAGTGGCTCCCTGCGACCTTCAGACTCGTCTTCTATCCACCCATACAACTCGTACTTACAGTCAGTGACTCGGGGGGATGGGGTGTGGGCCAAGGGAGGTGTTTGTATTTGGTGTCTAATGTTGTAGATACTAAACCCATGTTTGGATGCTGTTGGGACTGATCCTGTAGAGATGGAGAGACTGACCACAAGGGAGAGAGGGGTTAGAGGCTGGGGTCTCACGAATAAGTGGGGGGGACTAGCAGTTGATGGGGGCAGGGACCCATCTTCATGGCCTCTGTTGTAACCAGGTGAAGGCAGGGGTGGTGGAGCTGGGGGTGGGGAGATGCGGTGGTTCTTCTCATCTGATGCTTCTCGCTTTTCGATGGCACATGAGGCCAGATCATCAGCCCAGAGGTATGGCATTGGAGAGTGGTGTTGTGAAATGACATCCTGGAACCCAGGGGGGGAGTGGCATGGCCAGGGAACAGCACAGGATTGCCAGGAGCTCCTGACACGAGTGGTTATTGCTTGAGAGTGAAATCCATCAACAAGACAGGATTTTTCTCCAAGCACGTTGAACTGCTCACACGTGGACGGAGGGTGAGCGGGTGGCTGGGTTTAGCCAGGGTTGGCGGTGGCCAGTGAATACAGCAGAAAGAGGCAGGGGCAGATGATGACTTTGCGGTCACAGGCTGCCCTGTCAAGTCGAAGTACTAGGAGGCGGCAGAGCTGGTGGAGGTTGGTGGGGCACGCGCTGGAAGGGGGTTGGGTGCCTCCCAGATGTTCAGGGAAGCTTTGGGTTGTGTCCTGTGATCCAGAGCAAATGTGTGGAAAGAAATCTATGCTGATGTGGAAAAAGCCATGATACGACCTGGGATGAACCCAAGGTCTCGAAAGTGTAAGAGTATTGTTAGCCCTGGCTGGCATAGCTCAGTGGATTGAGTGCGGGCTGCAAACCAAAGTGTCGCAGGTTCGATTCCCAGTCAGGGTACATGCCTGGGTTGCAGGCCATGACCCCCAGCAACCACACATTGATGTTTCTCTCTCTCTCTTTCTCCCTTCCTTCCCTCTCTAAAAATAAATAAATAAAAATCTTAAAAAAAAAAAAAGAGTATTGTTGACCCCTACCCAAAAGGCACGCACACACGCACACACGCATGCATATATGCTAACATACATGAACATGCATGCACAGACATGTGCACACTCACACAAAAACACAGGAATACACCCCTTCCCCAGTTTGACTCCAAATACTGCCCCATTCCTGCCTCTGCCCCCCTCCTCCTCTGGATCCCCTCACTCGTCCCCATCCCCACGCTGGCTCTACTTACTGGTGGAGGAGCAGGCCCCAGCATTGGCGTGGGCTCTACAGCCTTGACCCTAAACAAGGGAGAAACCCTCCGTGGGGGAGGGGCTCGGCTCAGGGCTTGCCCCTTGCCCCTTGCACCCACCTCCTTTCAGTCCCCTGGACGCTCAGGCCCACCCACCCCAGCCTCGGGGTCCTGGCCTTTGACTCTCAGAGGGGTTTCTCACTCCTTCACATCCCCACATGGGGACATGCCTACAGAACCAAGAATTCTGGTGTTAGAGCTCTTGTATGGATGGGGCCATTCAGACCCAGAGAGACTTGACTTGCCCAAGGTCCTACATCAGGTCAGAAGCAGCCAGGACAAGAATTCACTTCGTCTGTAACCTAGCAGAAGAGCGCTCCAGCTGGGGTCAGGGAGTGGGGGAGGGGGTGGCACCCGAGGATGGCTTACCAGTCTTTGGGTGTGTCGGGTCCCGGCATGGATGGCAGGAAGGAGTTGTCAGTCTTCTCCTCTGGAGTGGCTGAGGCCGTGAGGGGCATCGATTCCTGGGAACTGTCTTTGTCTCCTTGTGGGCCAGGCTCTGGCAGGGGCCCCTGTGGCCTAATGTGTGGGGTGCCTGCCTGCTTGGGGGGCTTGTCTTCCAGTTGCTGTCCACAGCTGTCCAAGGTGCAAGAAGGCTCTGTTGGCCACACTGTATCTGACCCATCTACTGCCTGGTGACCTGGGGCGGGCTGACACTCCAGCTGCTGCTGAGGACAAGGACACCAAAAATGGGGAGCCCCGTGCTGGCTCCCAGGTGAACTTCCACACTCATCTGGAGACCAGTTATCACAGGCCGAGTCTGCCCTGACACTGCAAGCAGCCCCTGATGGAGCCCTCCCAGCACACCCAGAAGGCAGTACAAGTCAGATGCCCCACTTTGAGGGAGCAGGAAGGTGAGGCCCCAAGAAGGCATGCACGGCCGACCCCAAGTCATGATCCCTGCTTCTCTGCAGAGGGAGAATGAGAGCCTAGAGCAAGTGAGGCGACCCTCTGGAAATGGGGTTCCCTAAGGGATGTCTCAAAGGATAAGCATCCTTCATGGAACACCCTAAAAAGGAGATTTTTACACCAACTGACTTCAAGACTTACTGGAAAGCTATTGTAATGAAGACAGCATGGTGTTGAAAACACAATTTAGGCTGCTACCTCAATCTGTGCCTCCCGGGCTGCTTCTTCTTGCTCAAATAAATGCCTTTTATAGATATTTTTAAAAAGGCAGTGTGGGGTTGGAATAAGGATAGGTAAATACATGAATGGAACAAAATAGAGAGTCCAGAAAGAGGCTCACACTAATGTGGTCAACTGGTTTTGGACAGGGGTGAAAATTCAGCAGAGAGGACTTCCAGTCAAGATGGCCGCGTAGGCAGACATGGCTCGCCTCTTTGCATGACCATGTCAAAATTACAACTAAAATACAGAACCACCATCACTCGGGAATGTCAGAAATTGAGCTGAATGGAAGTCTGACAACTATGAAATCAAGTTGAGTAGAAGTCTGACAACTACAGGATTAAAAAAACCACATCCACCCAGACCGGTGACAGGGGTGCAGACATGGAACGGGCTGGTCCCACACCCACATGGATAAAAGTTTGGGAGGGATAGCTCGAGAGCAAGGAGTCCCAGACCCACACCAGGACCCCTAGCCCAGGGTTTCCAGTACCAGGAAAATAAGCCCCACAACTTCTGGCTGCAAAAGCCAGCAGGAATGGAGTTGGCAGAAGAAATTTCTGGAGCCCCATGCAGTTCCTGTTCAGGAACGCACGCATGGACTCACCTACGCAGACTCACTCCCTCTGAGCTCTAGCACCAGAGTAGCAGCTTGAAAGGCACCAGTGGTGTACAGGGAGAAACTGGGGTGTCTGGCATCAGGGTGAGCGTTTGCTAAACCCTCCCCCCAGAGAGCTGACGAGCTGGTGCCATATCTGAGACTCCAGCAACCTGGCTACCACTGTTTGACCTGCCTCAGAGATCCCCCAGAAGCTCTGCCCCACTCAATTTATATGCCCACCCAAGCTGCTTTTCCAAACAGAATGTCTGGTCTTGGCTCCTAAATCCTATCAAACAAGCAGCAGCTGTCTTCAGTGAGCCCTGGCAGCAGCCAGATTAGATTCACAGCTTGGCTTCACCTGGGAATCTCCAAGCCCAGCACGAGTAGCAGCCATCTCAGAATGCCTTAAGGTTCAAAAAAGGTGCCTCGGGCAAAACACAGGTGGAGCTGATCTTGGCCTGCACCACCTGGGAAACCCCGGGGCCAGTGCACCCGGTGGACAGCTAAAGACCGCATAGGAGAACCATCACCCTGCGCCTGCCCAGCTGATCCTCCATGGAGGGCAGAGGTTGGTGGTCAGTGGTCACAGCCAATCCTTGCAGCTGACTGGCCTGGGTAAATCCCTCCCATTGACCTGCCAACAGCAACCAAGGCTCAGCAGCAACTGCAGGGTGTACTCAGCCCACACAATGGGTACACATCGAATACCCAGCTTGGGTGATAGGGGAGGCTGTGCCACTGAACCCTACAGGACACCTACTACTAGGACAAAAGTCACTTTCTCAGGCCCTCTTTCCTGGAGCTGGCTGGACCCCATAAAGCATGACTGACCCTAATTGTTTTATGGGCCTTTTCCCTCAGGACTAGAAAATTCCTGGAAGCTCCCTGAAGGCGCGGAGGCTCCTGGAACTCACAAAACAGGACCTAGCAGGCCACAGCGACCTGAGACTCGGACCCTGCCAAAGATAACACTGAAACAAGTTACAGCCCAACGGAAACATCCTGCTCTACAACCGCCCCTCACCCCACAGAAGCCCAAAGCCCCAACCCCTCCCGACTGGTGCACGTCTCCGCACCAGCCCTCTCCCTCCCGTAGGAAAGCAAAACTTTTACTCTCTGCACTTTCTTCTCTTTGTGAATTCTTTCACAGCCCTCATCACTGACCCCCCTAACACCTACTACATGAGGCCACACTACCAAGACACGGGTCAGAGCAGCTCTACCTAATACATAGAAACAGACACAGGGAGGCTGCCAAAATGAGGAGACAAAGAAACATGGCCCAGATGAAAGAGCAGAACAAAACTCCAGAAAGCAAGCTAAAGGAAATGGAGATAAGCAACCTGTCAAGATGCAGAGTTCAAACCACCGGTCATAAAGATGCTCAAGGAACCTAGTGAGGACCTCGGCAGCATAAAAAAAAGACCCAGGCAGAAATGAAGGGTTCACTACTTGAAATGAAGTGCAATTTAAAGGAAAACAACTGCAGAGCGGATGCCGCTGAGGAGCTAATCAATGATTGGGAACACAAGGAGCAGAAAACAACCAACCAAAACAAGAAGAAAGGGGTAAAGAGGTGAGGGGATTGAGTACAAACAGGCAGTGGCAGAATAGCCATGAGACGTGAATGACAGTATAGGACAGGTAGTGGCCAAAGACCTTACTTGCATGCCATGTGGACATGAACAAGAGGAGGGGGATTGACGGAAGGAATGGGGGTGCTGGGTAGAGGGGAGCAAAGAGGAAAAACTCAGGACAAGTATAATAGCATAATCAATAAAATATCCTTCGAAAATGAATAAATAAAAATTAATAAAATAACGGGCAAGGTATTTCAATAGACATTTTTCTAAGGACGATATACAAATGGCCTATAAACACACGAAAAGATGCTCATCATCATTAGTCACTAGGGAAATACAAATGAAGACCACAGTAAGGTCCCACGATACCCCTATTAGAATGCTTTGAATTAAAGGGACGAACCGTACCAACTTGGGGAGGAGGGTGTGGGGCGGCTGGAATTCTCACGCATTGCCGATGGGGGTGTAGAATGGTACAACTGCTTTGGAATGGAGTTTGGCAGTTTCTTAATAAGATAAACATGCACATACCACGTGATCTATCCCACTCCTACGCATTTATTTGCCTAAGAGAAATGCGAGCACGCAGCCAGGTGGACGTGAGAGTTGTATGGGCAATAGCCTGAAAGTGGAGCCGACCCAATGTCCATCCACAGGTGCGGGGATGAAAACATTGGGATACATCCATACAGGGGAATGTTACTCTGCAACAAAAAGTGTTGATCCACACAGCGACACAGAGAAATCTCCAAACAGGCGCACTGAGCGAAAGGAGCCACACAACAAGAATGCACGCTGCACGCTTCCGTTTGTGCAAAACTCTAGGAAATACAAATGGATCTGTAGCGACAGAACGCTGGTCAGTGGTTACCTGGAAACGGCAGGCGGGGGGGTGGGGGCGGGGAATGACAGAGCAGCACGGGGAAGCTTTCAGGGGTGAGGATAGGGTTCTTTTCCTGATGGTTTTGTGGGTATACATACATATGTCCAGAATATCAAATTGTACACCTGAAGTATGTGCAAGTGCATGTCCATTATACTTCACTGACGCTGTTTAAAATCACAAAATCTTTAAAATACGTAGAAAGGTATTTTGAAATCAAGTTAAGTCTGGAAAAGGCACCATACTGTAACCATCTCCTGCCAGTCCCACAGGGCTAAGACACAGCCTCTAGGACATCCTGGCATAAGGAAACCAGTTTGAGCTTTGTTAAACCCAGCATGTGCCCATTTTAATTGTATGCAGACACCCCCCACCCCTACCACGCCTCCCTGCTCCCTGCCTCCAGCACCCATTGACGTACCACAGGGCCACTCGGGAGACAGGTCAAAGGCTTGCTGTGGGCAATCAAGACCACCCAGAATTATGTCAGTAACCCACACAGGGTGCATGCGCGCCATCTCCAGGCACAGAGAGGAGCAGACACAATGCGCCAGAATGGGGACAGGGGTCCTTAACCTCCCTGTGGGTCCGTCACTCCATGCCTTCCTGCCCAATTGTCTCAGACGTTACCTGGCACCTCTTGGGGGCCTGGCCCTCCATGGTCCCTGGGTTCTGCTGTCTCCCCTGCAGGTCCTCGGGCTCCTTCGCTGACCCCGGCCGCTGAAGCCTTTCAGGTGCTGCAGGGACCCTGGAAGGCAGCGCCCCCAGCTCATTTTCTGGCTTGGTCCGATCCTGGCCTACTTGCAGTTCCTTGGGCTCTTCCTGGGGGACCCAAGATGACAGCTTCTTCCTGGGAGAACAGACGAGGGGACCCTCAGCTCCAGGACTGGGGAGCTGTTTTATGTTCTCATATGTCTCTGTAGTTACCAGTGCACCAGTACAGAGCTAGGTACACCACAGGTGCATACTTAATGCCTGGGAGAATGAAGGAATGACATGAATCTCCTAAATCGTAAGCACTTTGATATCAATGTTTAGAGGAGTTAGGATTTAATAGTCTTATTATTTATTATTTTTTAGAAACATCAGCCCTGGCTGGCATAGCTCAGTGGATTGAGCGCAGGCTGCGAACCAAAGTGTTGCAGGTTCGATTCCCAGTCAAGGTACATGCCTGGGTTGCAGGCCATGACCCCCAGCAACTGCACATTGATGTTTCTCTCTCTCGCTATCTCCCTCCCTTCCCTCTCTAAAAATAAATAAATTAAATTTTAAAAAAAAGAAACATCAGAGAGAACTGGAGGTCAGAGAGGCTGAGAGACTTGAGCCCAGGGGTCACAAAGCTGAAGTCAACAGCTTAGGGTTTGCATCTGTGAATCCGTGTGGATGGATGTCACTTCTATACCCTGGACTAGTACCTCCAGGCTTCTCCCTATGGATACACATGCATATTTGCAATGAGGATCTATTTAATAATTATCTTCAAGTAACTGCATAATTTTCCATGGTTTTGAAGCTGTATTGCATCTAGTTTTGCAGTTTTTTCATTGAACATTATTCCCATCATATTAACATCACATGAACATTCCCATGCCAAGAATCTTTCGTAAGCATGCTTTTTAATGACAGCATAAAACCCCATATTTTATAGATAATCATAAATCACTAAACTGTTCCTCTGCTGTGGGCATCGTGGGCACACAGGTTCTGATTTTTAGGGTGTAAAATAATGTGACGGTGAAATTGTTTCTGCATAAAACTTTGCCTGAATCTCCAGTGATTTCCTCAGGGCACGTTTCTAGAAATGGACGAATGGAAAGACAGTTTTAAGTCAGTTTGAACAAATGCCAAGCTGTTTAAAGCAGACGTGTTGACATGGGCTTCATCTCCACCAGCACAGTATGCAGTACCTGTGTCAGGGAACTTGAACCTGGCTTTGACTGTGTCCCCCAACTTTTCATGTAGAAGAGACTGTGTAGAGGTTTCTGGTTATAATGAAACTTAAACAATAAGCTAATTAGGCTTTACTATCCCTGTTTCCCAAATCCTTTACCTTGCCTTTCTCTGGCTCTTGCTTGATTTTCTCTTTTTAAATTTCTCACTACAGAGAAGTTTAATATGCATCTATATCTATATAGAGAAAATATTCAGAAACTAGTAACAATAATTCCAGGTAAACGTAGGTTTCCATGTCTCTCAGCCTCTTTTGTTCATTTTCCTATTAGTTCAGTGAATACATATTTATTGAGCATCTACTATACTCCAGGCACGGCCCCAGGCGTGAGGAATTTGAGGCTCAACAAGACACAGCAGAAGCCTGTGGTCCAGCGGGAGCTCAGACAAAGGCCAACACAAAGAATGGTGTAGTGAGATTTGTGCGATGAACAAGAAGTTCGGGTGCTGTGACTGGGAGGGTCCACCTTGGGCTGGAAGTACTCCCTCCTCTCTCCCCCAGCTCCAGGTAGGTCACAGGGGGTTCTCTCCCGGATCTGCTCTCTGAGAAGCCCCTAGCTCACCCTGGGTCTACCAGATGACTCTGCTCTGGGGTCCTGAGCTCCAGAAGCCCCTCTTCTGATGCTTCTCTGTGTCCAGGCCTCTCCTCTGGCCTTTCGGAGGCTGATGGGGGCTCCTTCCCACTGTCCATCCCTGCAGCATCTGGAAACACGACCTGGAACGAAAATGCTCTTGGTGCCGGCTCAAGGGCTGGCTGTGAGTATCCACTCTGGAGGGATACCCCCCACTCCCTGGACATCATCCCCACCTCAGGGGCAGAGAGATTCCATGCCTAACTGGGGACTTTGTTGGAGAGAGGCGGGGAGAGAGAGGCTGGGGTGCAGTGCCAGCCCAGCTTGTCGGTCAACACTCACGGCTCTGATGTAGTCCTGGGGTCCAGAGTAGTACCTGAGCCAAGGGTATCCCACCAAGCACTGCTTGACAGAGCACCCTGGGGGACTTAAAGACCCCCAGGAGGTCTGAGAAAGACTTCCACAACTTCTGCTACTATTTCAGAGCTCAGGCTGGGAAACTGGGTTGTCATGCCCACCTTGGTGTATCACTCCATAGCCGGGTGACTTTGAGCCAGTGACTTAGAGCCAGCAAAATCCAGACAACCTGGCTCAATGCCCTGGCCAGTGTGGCTCAGTGGATTGAGTGCTGGCCTTCGAACCAAAGGGTCACCAGTTCGATTCCCAGTCAAGGCACAAGCCTGGGTTGCGGGCCAGGTCCCAGTAGGGGGCACGCAGGAGGCAACCACACATTGATGTTTCTCTCCCTTTCTTCCTCCCTCCCTTCCCTTTTCTCTAAAAATAAATAAATAAAATCTTTAAAAAACAAATTTAAAAAAAGATTCTGGTGTGGCTAACAGTAAGGGCACCTACCACGGGGCAGGGCCTATGCCGGTGCCTCAGAGATTTCACCCAGTCAGTCCTCACCGTGACACACGTGAACGCTGAGGCTCAGAGTGGGTGCAGTGACATGTCTACTGTCCCACAGCTGGTTGAACAGCGAGGCCAGGCCCCCGTGACTACGCTGTTGAAAAAACCTGTCCTGCAGGACTTCTGAGCCCTTAATATACTAGCATGCATTATAGATGAAAACTCCATGTTCTTTGGGGGGGGTAAGGAACAGGGGCTGGGCACGTCTGTCTGTGGGGGACTCTAAGGTCTCCGATGGCAATATGTAGTTCGCCAAAGCACCCCCGCCCTGCCCTGGACACATTCCTTTCTAAAGCTTGTCTCAGTGTCTCTCTCCTGCCCCTCCCACCTAACTTCGGACTCTGCTGCACCGCCAGCGCCTACACAAACATTCTGCCTTCATCTGCACAGACCCCTGCAGTCCTAACGCCACAGCCCCCAGCCTCTGAGCCTGCCTCCCACCCCGGCTCTCCAACACCCCCTCACCTCATCCTTCAAGCTCCTACGGAACTTTCCCAAGCTTCCGACCACCTCAGCCCTCTCTTTAGCCTCTGAATTCTCTTGAGGCAACATCAGCACCATTTCCAGGGGCGCGCCAGGGACCTCCTTTCACTGTTTCTAGGGGTAAGTCCTACCTCTCAGTGGGAGCGTGTGACCTTGAAGCTCCCGCTGGGGATTCGTCCACTCGAAAGCACTGCAGGCCAGCCAGCATCCATGGGGGAACCTTCGACTTGCCGGTCGCGTTTGCAAACGGTATTCTCCTAACCACCCTGTGAGGTCAGCGGGTCCGGCCCTGTTTTAAAGAAAGCAGAGGCTCGGCGTAGCCCACTGTCGCGTCCAGTGCCCCACGGCTGGCCTGCGGAGGACCTGGATGCAGACCCAGGCTTGCGTGACTCCCAAGACTGCCTATCTCACCACGTTATCTTGCCCCAAAAGCAGCTCAGGCCCGTGCGATCAACAATTGTTTCACGGACACGTGGCCATGCTAGACGGCGCCAGGCCTCGGGGATACACGAGGTGTTCTGGCGGCTCGCACGTTTTACAGGGCCACGGGGGGGAGGGGCTCCTAACAGCTGCTGACCGAAATCCCCCTCCCTCCTCCTTTCCTCTCAACCCTGTCTGCCCTGCTGTCCTTCCTGTAATTAGGTTTGCGCTCCCACAGTGCAAACAAGCCCTCTGCTCCCAGGAGACCCCTTGCCCCACGTGGCGGCTCCAGTATCCCAAGGGCCTAGGCTCTCACTTCGCACGAAGAAGTCAGCATTGTGACCGAGTCCCTCTCTCTTTCCTTGGAGCTCCTCTCTCCTCCCTTCCTCTCTCCCATGAGGGCTCCTTAAGCGTTCACACCAGGGGGAGATGACCCATCTGGGGGAACCCCCCCCACCAGACCCCTCAAACACGCCCCCCATTGTTCACCCTCTCCACCTCAGAAAGCGCAGTCTCAGCCTCAGAATGCTCGGGACCCAATATTCCACAAGCTGAAGTTTTAAGTGGGAGGAGGCTCCAGAGTTGCGGGGGAGCCCTCACCCCCATTGTCAGCTTGCAAACTGAGAATCTAGACCAGGAGGGGAAGCCCGAGAGAGACCGTGGCAGGAAGGCGTGGACTCTGAGGACAGAACTGAGGGGGGTGGGTGGCAAACACAGGCTGTGCCCCGCCCTTTTCTGGCCCTAGGTGCCCGTTTTATTCCACAGCTCTAAGGAGATTTACTTCACATACCATCCAACTCACTCGCTGAAAACGTACAGTTCAATGGCGCTTCGTATACTCACAAGACCCTGCGATCCTCACCCTTGGAAGGTTTTTGTCACTCCACAAAGAAAGCCTGCACCCCTCAGCCATCACCTCTGCCCTTGCACCCCGCCCCCAGCCCCAGGCAGCTACTGATCCGCTCTGTCTCTGTGGATCTGTGGCTTTGCCTGTTCTTATTCCAGACAGCGCCTATCCATGGAATCGTACAATATGTGATCCCTGGTTACTACTTCCGTCACAACACGATGCTTCCAAGGTCCATCTATGTTGTGGCATGTATATCAGTGCTTCGTTCCTTTTTATGGCCAACCCACCACGTTTTATATGGCCATTCATCGCTGATAGACATTTGGATAATGCTGCTAGGAACATTCACATACACATTTTTGTGTGGACGTGTTTTCGTTTCTCTTGGGTACATACCTAGAAGTGGAATTGTGGGGTCATACAGGAACTCTCTGTGTAACGTCTTGGTATTGAGTACCCTTTTATAAGTGTTTTCCCATCTGAGAAACGGGAGGGGGGCGGTTCTCTTAGAAATGTCTATGCTACTAGGAAAATACAACAGAGGAAGATGATAAGTGACCTATAATGTGTATGTCTGGAGGCCACCAAGGAAAGCTGCTCACATCAGCCCCCCACCTGGGCCCTGGACCTACCAGAAAACAGTGAGATTTGAACCCCCGCTCACCTCCTTACCCACGGGATTTGAGCCTATACTCCACCTGGAGGAGGGGATTTCCTGGGCTGTCACTGTTCAGCGAGCTCCATTACACATGAGGAAAGCAAAGCTTGCTCTGCCTACCTCACAGGGATTATTGTGTCAAGATGACCTCTTCCAGGCAGCCCTCCCTGCCTGCGCCCAGGCTGAGTGGGGTCTGACTTCTCTTGGCTGCCTCGGCCCCCTGGGAGTTTCCTCCATCATGGCACTTTTCACTCTGCGCTGCAAATGAACTTCCCTCTCTGTCTCCTCCGCTCTGTGAGCTCCAAGAAGGCAAAAGCAGGGTGGGCCTCGTCTCTGTGGCCCCAGCACCTGGCATCTGGTAGGTGCCCAAAGCCCGTCTTTGTTAGACTGAGCGGAACTGAAAGTGGTCTGAACATATTGTAAGACTTGGCTGCTGCCGGCCTGGAGGGATAATTCTCTTTGCAGCTCCTGAGAGGAAGGTTTCCTAGCTGTGGCAGCCACGTGACCAGGCCCAAAGCGGTCACCGTGGGCTACCTTCACGCTGCTTGGCTTCCAGAGCGGAAGTGACAGAGCGTGGTGCTGATGGTAGACATTGCCCTGAAGTTCAGCTCTCAAGTGCTGGATCTAGATGTTCTCACAGCTGGAAGTTTCTCTGACTCAGTGGTCCAGGTGCTTTACTCCTGGGACACCCTATTTTTCCCAGTGTTGTTTGGCACACACCAAGGAGTCAGGAAGCAGAAGAGATAACACCGTGGTCCATCCCCAAATTGCCACTTGGCTTTGGGATGCAGCCAACAGATTATACACATGCGCACACACCCATTCACTTGTTCATTCACTGAGCCCTTTCTCAGTGCCCGGCCCTGTGCTGCGGAATACAGGGGTCTGCAGGCGGCAGGGACAGGGTCCTGCATTTGAGAAGCTCACAGTCTAGTGGAATCGCAGACACACACAGGGCAATGGGAACGGGAGGGAATGAGATGGTCCATGTGGGAGTTGCCCCTTCCCTGCCCTCTCTAGCGCTCCCCCCCGCCCGCTTTCTCAGGGGAGTCTGTCTTTGCGGCTCCAGGATATTAGGAAAATGAGAGACAGGACCAACAAACTGGGAGGAAGAAATCTCGTTTCTTTGCTGTGGAGAATCAACGTAATGAGCCAAGTTGCAATTAGAAGTCAATTTATATAAAGAAGGGTTAATTTCACACCTTCCAGGGTGGCTATTATCAAAGAAAATGGAAAATAACAAGTATTGGTGAGGATGAGGGAAATTGAAACCGTTGTTTATTGCTGGTGAGAATGTAAAGTGGTACAGCTGCTGTGGAACACAGTTTGGAGGTGTCTCAAAAAGCTAAATATGGCATCATCATATGGCCCATTAAGAGGCATGAAATTCTGATACATGCTATGACATGGATGAACTTTGAAAACATACTAAGTGAAATAAGCCGGACATGAAGGACGCTGCAGGATTATATGAGGTATCTAGGACAGGCGGACTCACAGACTCATAGTGGAACGGAGGTGTGGCGGTGACCAGGGACTGGGCCCAGTGGGGCCTGTTTGTGTCTGGGATGTTATTGTTGGAGGACGCAGAGTTTGCGTTTGGGATGATGACAAGTTCTGGAAATTGATAGTAGTGATAGGCATACAATATTGCTGGTGTTACTTAGTTTCACTGAATTGTACACTTAAAAATGGTTAGAATGGTAACGTTTATGTTATATATATTTCACAATAGCAGTTTAATTTAAGAGGTTAGATCATTCCTGTAACAAAGAGCATATATGGAGTGAGTAGAATTGATAGAGAGGTCTGATAAAGATAACTCGGGTCACTGGGGAGAAGGAAGGAGGGTCCTGAGGAGGAGTTGGCGGAGGCCATTGTGGGCAGTCTAGGACGGGACTGGCTGAGAAGCTTAACGCCTCTGGAGCCAATGGAAATAACAAGGGAGAGCTCTCTGGTTCCTGAGCTGGCTCACTCTCAGGCTCCGGCTCCAGCGCTGGGGCTCACTCTCAGGCTCTTCTTCCTGGAGGATGCCTGGATGATCGTGCTGCAGCTGCCTGCATTTCCCAACAGACAGCATTTTTGTATGGGAAGGAACTCCAGACACAGTCTAGGTTCAGGCTGGCCTGGCAGAGAGTGGCACGTTTGTTCTTTGGGTGTTCTAGAGGGAACAGGCTCTGAGGCAGAAGCCTGCTGTTCTTCCAAAATTGTGCAGTTTCTGTATATTATGTTGTTTTTAGTTTGTAAACTAACCCTAAAGAAATGAGATAACTAAAAACTAACTGGGAAAAGATAGGCGAGAACTCAGGTGACCTTTTGGCATCTCTGGGCCACACATTAAATACACAAACACCAATGAAAACTGATGAGCAAAAAAAAAGGTTTTAAGTAAATTTATGATTTTGTGTTTGGCTGCATTCACAGCCATCCTGGGCTGCATGCAGTCTGTGGGCTGTGGTTTGGACACCCCTGTTTAGAGTTTAGCCTTGATTGACAGACTTAAGTAACTTCTTTTGAATAAAGACTCCTTTCCTTTATTACCAAGCTTTTGCCTCTGGAGTTTTTCCCTAGAGGGCCGTGGTGGGCAGCAGAATCCTAAGTACTGTTGGGTAACAAAATGAGAGAGAGGAGAGCGTAGAAGCGGGTGGAGAAAGTTTGGGAGTCTTCAGTGAATCAGAGATTTGGGATCCACTGTGCCCACACGGGGCCTGGCACACTGTAAGCACTCACTAAATATTTCTGAAATGAATGAGAGGATGGTAGAAGAGGAGGATGGATTTTGAGAATCCAATTATTGCTAGACCTTGCATCCGCTGTAGCATTTTGTGAGAAATCCAAGAATGGGAGTCTTTTTAAAATCACTTATGGTGACCTTAAAAATAAAAACAGCCAGTTATTTTTACCAGCAAAACAAAAAGGAGTTTATTCAGGACAAGCATGGTACAGCAAAAAAAAGTATAGGCAAGTCCACAGAAAAAAGAGGAAGTTGGGAAGGAGTACATTGAAGGAAAGTCCTTGAAGGAAAGTGAAAGTTCTGGTTGGTGATGGCTTCTCATTGGATGAATTGCAAGGGCTCCCGTTGGCTGGGCCTGTTGCTAGGCAAGGAGAAAAATCTTCCTCCTTCTAGGGTAGTAGGAGCCCTTGCGGGAAATGCAAAGTAGCTTTTTCCTGTTGGGGTGCATAATTGAGGTGGAATGGTAGTGCAGGAGAGCTCCTTCTTCTGGCCACCTGAGTCCATTTTGAACGGGGTTTCTTTATTCAGTTTCCCACGTACGGGACTAAATTTTCCTTCTCTGAATACGACTCTTTGCTGAGTCGCAGGAGGCCTTGCACACACGGTAGGTTAGGATAAGGGTCTGGGTAGGGGCCTCCCACTGAACATAGTGGGTCCCAGAAGGATTTCTCTTGGAAGAGGCGCCTCAGTCGAGTCTTACAGCGTCAGGAGAAGGAGGTGGCAAAGGCTCAAAGAGAGAGTCTTCAGGGTGAGCTGTGTTACGTCGCTACAGCTTTGACTCTCAGCCAGCTGGGCCCCAGATGCGTCTAGGCGATAGGGATGATCCGCAACCAGACAACGGTGCAGTCTGTATTGATGGTTTCTCTGCAGCACGTAAGGCCTCGTGGGAGGGGGAAGTCCCCAGAAAACCCCGGTTCTCATCAAGGGGACTGGGCTCGTGCGTCCGACCGACTGCGGCATGCCTTGAGCCACCGCTCCCAGCAGAGGACGCCCGGGCGAGGAGGCGTGGAGGTCCGCGAGCCGCCGCTCTAGCCCGACCGGGGTCATAGAGTCGCGCCGCTTCCGCCCCCGGGCTGGGAAGGAGCCGGAAGTCTGGTGGGCTGCGAACACCGAGATGGAGGAGGGCGAGTACGAGTCGGTGCTCTGTGTCAAGCCGGAGGTGCACGTCTATCGCATCCCACCAAGGGCTACCAACCGTGGCTACAGGTGACCGCCCGCCGCCCGGCCGGGCAAACCCCTACTTAACCCCTTCCGCGCTGTCCGACACGCCCACTCGGAGCAGAGGTGGGCCCTGCCAGCTTAGGGGCGAGGGGGCCAGTGATGCTGCGGCGTCTCCTGGCTTGTGGCCAGAGCAGGGAAGGGAGTCCAAGCTTTCAGCCGTCTCGATGGGACGCACCGGGCTCCCAGGGGCGGGAAAGGCGTTAAAGCCTGTTTAGCGCTTGGGGCCCCGGTTAGCTTCCAGGTACCCTGAAAGTCAGGTAGTGTCGGGAGTGGTGATGTCGCAGACCTTTTTCTTTCAGAGCCAACTGATAGCCTTCAAGGGATCCTTGAAAAACCTTAAGGGGAAGGGGGCCTCTCCTAGGCGGGAAATCCCAGAGGGGAAGGAAGGGAGCTCGGGTTGGGAGTTTTAAGCTCAGGGCGGAAGCCCAGGCACCCCCCCCCCCCCCACCATCCAGCTTCCTTGCTGGAACTTCTTATCTTATCACAGTTTATGACAGCTGGGAGGTATCATCCGTACTTCTCTGGTGAAATGTCCCTGAAATGAATAAACATACATACACTTGGAGAGTAGTATCTGGAAGGGAACTGCCCATCCGGAGGGGAACGGGGCGGGGATGGGGGATTTGTACCGTTTGTATTGTATTGTATTACTCTGTGTATGTATTACAGAGCAAAAAGAGGTGAAAAATATTAAAAGAAAAAAAGAGATACCCGATAGAGAGTACCTGGTCTACGGCTAATTTGTGCCACTGATGGGCGGGCGAGAGGCGACTCTTGAAGGCCCTGTTTGTTCAAGTGATTTGGACATTCAGAACACAGTACTGGCCCGTGCTGCAGGAACGATGGGGTGTCGGCATCTGACTTCTTGTTAACTTCCAGTTGTGTGTTAACGTGGGCTCATCGCTGATTCTGTAGTGATCAGATGTTTTACTGAATGCCTACTACCTCCATGACATGATTTTAAAATAGTGTGAAAGCAACAATTAGTTAACAGTAACAAAAACACATTTGCTTTCTGTCATCAACCTGGAGGCGTGCCACCGAACCAGGATGGTCCTCGACCCCCAACCCTTTCAATAGAGTAGGTTTGGCCCCTCTTGGTCACCCAGAAAGTGGGGATGGCAAGTGTCAGGGCTGGCTGGTTTGGCATAGAGGAAACTGTCGGCCCTTGCCCTTCAACTAGAGAGCTCTGCTTAGCCTGAGTCTAAGGCTTGGTGCCCCGGAAGGAGGAACTGAAACCGAGTGTGCTGACTCGTGAATGGAGAGTCTGCATTTGTGTGAACTTCCAAACAGCCTGTGTCGACAGTTGTGGTGTCTCTCGGAGTCCCGGCATATGCCGAGGGACTTCCAAGGAGAGCCTTGTGGAAAGACCCGAGGTTCCTGCTGTTGGGGGATTTTACAGAGCTGCTTCTTAGCAGTAAAATGTGAACTTACCGCCCTGTAAGAGCCCAGAGGCCATTGCGATAGGCCCATCGTTTCCTGGTTTTCTTGCTGCCTGGGCTGCCTTTGAGAATGTGTTTCCTTCTTTCTTTTTCTTTTTTTTTTTAGACTTTTTCTATTTATTTTTAGAGATGGGGGAGGGAAGGAGAAAGAGAGGGAGAGAAACATCAATGTGTGGTTGCCTCTCATCCTTCTGGGAACATGGCCCACAACCCAGGCATGTGTTGGGAATTGAACTGGCAACCCTTTGGTTCGCAGGCCAGCACTCAATCCACTGAGCTATGCCAGCCAAGGTATATTTCTTAAACACCCATTCATTTTCCCCTTGCTCTCCTTTTCTTTGCTGATGGTTGTTGCTCCCCTCTCTACTTTTCCTCCAAGATGGTTTCTGATCCCAAAAGGTCACTCTGATCACTGCTGCCTAGCAGTGTCTTCAACAAACAGGCCCCGGGAGCCACTCCCTTTACAGGAAGAAAACTGGAAGTCCTACTTCAGAGAAGGTCTCTATAATCTAAAACCGGGGTCAGCAAACTGTGACCCACAGCTTTTGTGTATAGCTCACAAGCTAAGAATGGTTTTTACAGTTTTAGATGGCTAGGGGAATTTTTTTTAAGAAGACTCTTTCATGATGTGAAAGTTATATGCAATTCAGATTTCGGTGTTTACAAAGGTTTACAGAAGCACAGCCATGCCCAGCCCATTCGGTCATAAAGCACTGGTGTGCTCGGGAACTGCGAGTGACTGATCGCACTGTAACAGCAGCGCAGGGAGTAGTCGTGACAGAGATCGTGTGGCACTTGGGGAAGGTTCGCCAGCCCCTGGTCTAGAGCAAGCAGCCCGTATGCCTTTCCCAGCCCCACCTCCAGCTCTGGAGCACTCAGAGCTGGAGCCTCTGTCAGAGGCTCAATGGTTTTTGTCCCCTTAGGGCTGCGGAGTGGCAGCTGGACCAGCCATCATGGAGTGGCCGGCTGCGGATCACTGCAAAAGGGCAGGTGGCCTACATCAAGCTGGAGGACAGGACCTCAGGTAAAGGCAAGGGACACGTGCGCAGGGCTGGGGCGCCGTGCTGCCCTCTGTGAAGGGAGAGGCAGCCCTGGCCTGGCGGGGTCACTCTGGGGTCATGGGCACCTGCCCTGGAAGTGGAAAACCTGCGTGTACCTCTGAGCCCCCTACATTGCCCCATCTTTACTTGTGGGAACCACTGTCCACAGGTATTAGAAGTGGTATTTCCTGCCAAGCACCTGTTCTCTTTGGGGGTCCTTAAGAAAATACTACTTTTGGAGGCCAAGGAGAGGGGACCTGCAGGTGGGTCCCAGGTGGGAAGCCCCGGGGGTTGCCTCGAGACGGACCGGGGGAGGTGCCCAGCCCTCTGCCGCCGAGCTCTGGTTCTCAGGGATTCTGTTGATGGGCTAAATGGTAACTCCCGCACCTACCCTGCCCCTTACCCAAAGGAGCCGAAACTGTCTCCTGAGCTCTTCTGTGCTGAGAGGGCGAGCCAGGCTGCGTGGTGTTGGGGTGGCTGGTAGATGTCACTGTGGGGACAACTCTCTGGAAATCCTGTGCCACCAGTGCCCCTGGATGCTCTGTGGGGGGCGCACGGCCCAGAATGGCCCGGTCCCCGGAGCAGGGACCCGGGCACAGTGCCTGCTCGGTCGGGTGCCTCGGCATCGGCCATCTATTTCTCTAATATGGAGAAATTTCCCTTTGTGGGCTGGAACAAAGGACAGAGGTTCATAGGCAGGTGAATTCTCAGGACTTTGTCATTTGTGTCTGCGCTGTGGGGCCTTGGGCACATCACATGACCTCTGGCACCTTGGCCTCCTCTTTGTTGAAATGGGCGTCACATCAGTTCCTGCTTCACCAGGTTGTTGGGACCCCATCCAGTTGTTTTGTGAGCCGCAGGGTGACCCAAAGCATTGATTTGCTCTGGAGCATGGGGTTGGCGGGGCAGCATTGTCTGCAGAGGAGTTAGAAGAGACAGCTGCTGTGCGTCTGGCCGAGAAGACAGAGAAGTCTGGCCATGAGATTGGCTGGGATGTCCCAGGTGGTGTCACAAGGGAGTGGCCACACCTGTTCTCTGCCGCCCTTGGGAACCGACTGTCTGGTGATCCCTAATGTAAAAGCCCAGGGCCAAGCCTTGCCCAGGATACTCTCAGCTTGGGGTCGTGCCCACTGGGTCACGTTGGCCTCTCCCTTTGCGGTCACTCCAGGCCAGAGATTCCCAGCCTCAGCACTAGTGATGTGGGGGCCAGGTGAGTGTTGTAGGCTGTCAGGTCACATGTAAGGTATTTAGCAACGTCCCTGGCCTCTGTGTGCTACATACCGGTGCTTCCCCCACCCCCAAGTTGTGACACCAGAAACACCTCCAGATATTGCCTGATGGCCCCTCGGGGGTGTGGGGGGAGTGCAGTCCTGGTTGAAGACATCCAGGGCAGTCCCAGATCCCAGCTGAGGGGGACAGTAATTAACAAAAAGCTACAGACCCTGGGCCCATGGATTGTGGTGCAGCTCAGCTTCGATTGCAGTCACCTCTACATCTCAGGTCTCGGGAGAAAATACTTGGTTAGATGCTTAAAGCACCAGCCAAGACCAGCGCTGGGGAAGTGCTGCCAGTCACGAGTGCCCACAAAGGGCGTGAGCGCTGCGCCCTGGAGAGCGTCGTTGACGAGGGGCTGCACTTCACAAGGGCCCCCTTTGAAAACCATTCCCTCCTGCTCTGTCTCTGAGATTAACTCAGCCGCCTTCCGGTTCTTCTGTGGGTGCAGAGACTTGCTCCCTCCTTCCCACTGGGCTCACCGGCTCCTCCACGCCCCTGCCTCAGGCACCAGCTCTTTTCTGAAGGTGCGAGGTACCTGGGCCGGCCCGCCTGCTGCGGAGCTCTCGGAGTGCAGGCCGGCTGCAGGCCGGCTGCAGGCCGGCGCTGTAAGTGGGGCTGGCGGATGGAATGAGGAACCAGTGGCCCCGGCCCATCATTCTCACATGGGATGGGGGCCCGGCATTGTTACAGCTGTTGATTTTTTTTTTAAGATTTGATTTGATTTTTAGAGAGAGGGAGAGGAGGGCGAGAAACGTCAGTGTGTGAGAGATACATGGATCAGTTGCCTCGTGCATGCCCCAGACTGGGGACCTGCTCTGCAACCCAGGCACGTGCCCTGACCGGCAGTTGAATCAATAAGCCTTTTACTTTGTGGGACGATGCCCAACCCGCTGAGCCTCGCCGGTCAGGGCACAGCTTTTAATTTGAAGAGAAGCCAGAAATCATATTATTTTATGTGTAATTTGATTTTAAAGTGTTTGGCAGTTAAATGAAAGTTAAAGCTAAGCCACCTCTGACCCAAACCTTTCGTTGGTGGTATCCCTCTGGCCTCCCCTCAGCCGGAATGGGTTTAACTCGAAGCCCGTGTGCCTCGCAGGCAGCGGGGCCCAGCAGGGTGGCAGAGACGTGCGGCCGGAGTGGGCTCGGGCTCACTCCGGCTCGTGCTTCCAGGCGAGCTCTTCGCTCAGGCCCCGGTGGACCAGTTTCCCGGCTCGGCCGTGGAGAGCGTGACGGATTCCAGCAGGTACTTCGTCATCCGCGTCGAAGACGGAAACGGTACGTGAGGGTCTTGGGGCTTGCTCCTCGCCAGGGGGCCTTTTCTGCCCCTGGAAAGTGGGACTGGTCACTTGTCGTTGTCTTCTAGGGCGACGGGCGTTTATTGGGATTGGCTTTGGGGACCGAGGCGACGCCTTTGACTTCAACGTTGCCTTGCAGGACCATTTCAAGTGAGTGGAATGCCTCCTCCCTTCTTTCCCCCGGACAGAATGATCTCCCGGGTCAGGGACCCAGGGGTGGTGTGTGGCTTGTTTTCCGGCAGAGCCCCAGGAACACTCGCCTCTGTTCTGGGACAGGCCGGCTCCTCTGCGTCCTGCCAGGCCTCGTCTCCGCTCTGGAGTTCCCTCCTTTTCCCGAGGCCAATCTCTGCCGCCCCAGTCAGCTGGCCCAGACTTGGAGGGGTCGTGTTTCTGCCCTTCCCAGGCCCCTGGGCAGCCAGAGTCCTCGTCAGGCTCCTGGGGCTTTTCGGGGCCTGTCCCTCTGGTACAAAAGGTGGTGCTTGGCTTCCCAGGCCACCCGGCAGGCGCCCGGGTGGTCCTTTCCGCAGCGGAAAGGCAGGGCAGGAACGACTGCTCCCCTGCCGTCTGCAGGCCTCTGCCTCCGGCTCCCGGCAGTGGGGGCGGCATGGCCGCTCACACGGAGGCCTCCGGCGCTTCCCCGTGCTGGTGCCCCTGCCCCGGGTGGCTGCCTGATGCCTGTGTCGTGGAAGGTGGGGGCCCTTTGTGTTGCCCTCTCCTTCCTAGCATGTCTTGTCTCACCACCTCCTTAAGAGCCTTGGGGTAGGGGGAGTCCTTAACTTAGTTCTTATGCCAAGCGCTTAGGAGTAGCGGGCCAGGTTCTTGGGTTTGTTGAAGACCAGCATTAGAACCCTCTACGTAAGAGATCTCATTGAACTTTCATAACAGCCTTTAAGACATACAGACCTGTCAACCCGTTTTGCTGATGCAGAAACGGACAGGCATGCAGCTGCTTGGGTGTCACAGGCAGGATTTGAAGTCAGGCCTGACTCCAAGCCTGCGCTCCTCCACCCCCTGCTGTGGCAAAACACCTCTTCTTAGACCGGTGGCAGGCAGTAGTGGCGTGAGTGTGACCGCGGGGCAGCTGGGCTCTTCCGCAGCTTCGTCTCCTCCTCCCCAGGTGGGTGAAACAGCAGTGCGAATTTGCAAAGCAAGCCCAGAACCCAGACCAAGGCCCCAAATTGGACCTAAGCTTCAAGGAGGGCCAGACCATCAAGCTCAACATTGCGGTGAGTCCCACCCTTGCTTGGCTGTGCTGACCATGATCAGAGGACACTTGCGGCCACCACGCCGAGCCCACCCAGCGCGGAGCCCCTCGCTCTTTCTCATAGCTCAGTGCCATCGGCTCAGCAGGTGTTTACTGGGTGGCTACCTTGTTCCAGGTGCCATGGGGGTGGGGGGGATGAGAGGGCCCCGCTGTCCCCTCAGAGTGGAGCTGAGATGGGCAAGTCAAGACGTGATTACCACATGGCAGGAGCCTCTGACCTAGGGATGTGCTCCACCATGTGTTCCCACGGGAAAGGCACATAGCCCAGAGTTAGGGGAACCAAGGAAGGCTTCCTGGAAGAAGCGACCTGTAAAGAAGGGAGGAAGGGTCAGAGGGTGGCTCAGGCAGAGGGAATGGCATGTGCATAGCCTCTGGGTTGAAAGGAACATCAGTCACTTGCTGCCAGAGCTGGCAGTCTTGTCCTCGCTGGTGCCGTGGGGGTCAGGGTGCTCCTGCCAAGCTGCGTCTTTGTCCTTGCACCTTGAGTGAGGGCGCTTTCGGGTGCTGTGGGCAGGAAGGCATCCAGATGGGCACGGGGAGTCACGGGCGCCTTCTGCGGGCGGTCTTGTCCTGGCTCCCTGTGTCCTGAGCTGCCTTGCATCCCGCTGTCCCCTGAGCTCCTGCCGAGAAGAGGAGGAGGTTGGAGTGGCTGGGTCGCCACGACTTGGCCTGGAGCTGCTACTACAGGGGTGGCGTTGGAATGATTTGGGGGAAACCAAGGGCCAAGTGGATTTGATTTTGAAGAAACTTTGTAACCCTAACATAATGCTCTTCCTCTTTACTTACTATCTCTTTCTCCTCTTTTCTGCTTTGTGCTAGTGATGATTTGGGACCTTGAAGTTGGCCAGCTGGCCCTTAAGAGAAAATGCAGGTCAAACCCAGTGGACTGGTTGGGATGTGATTCTTTCTCTTGCTGGGAGGAAACTAACATTTACTGAGCAGCTGTGTGCCAGGTAGTGTTTCCAGGGACTTTCTCGTTCGAACCAGACATGCCCCCCTTTCCCAGGTGAGGAGACAGAGGCTCGCAGAGGTCGCGGGGCCCGCCCAGGGTCCTGGAGCTAGAGACGCCCGGTCCAGCTGGACTCATGCGGGGCTCTTGGAGGGCTTTGACCTGGGGCCGCGGCCTTAGCGTCTGACTAACCTGTGTCTTTCCTTACAAGCGGGGGTGCAGGTCGTCTTCACCTTTGTGACTGGTGCTGGTTTCTGGCTCACGCTCAGTGCTCATGCTCAGTGCTCAGAGTTGGGTTTTTTTTTTTTTTAATGTTTCATTAAAGTACAGTACGCGTACAGAAAAGTGCACAAATTATGAACGCAGAACTCAGTGAAGGTTTAAAAGCCGAGTTTACCCGCGCAGACCAGCCCCCAGATGGAGACGCAGACGTCGGCACCCCGGAAGCCCCGCTGCCGCGCCGGGGAACCACCGGCCTGACCGGTCCCCTAGGTCTCGCCGGCAGCTTGTGTTAGTGGAGTCACCCACTCTGTACGCCTTCTTGTGTGGCTCCTTCCTGTCCCTGGCGTGGTGGGGGTGAGCGCTTCCATCCGCCCTGTTGCGTGTAGTGTGTTCGTTCTCCTTGTGGGGACGGATTCCACGGTGAGGACGTGCCCAGCGTCCCCCCACTTCACTGGTGGGGGACATTTGGGCGGTGTCCGGTCTGGGGCTGTTAACATAAGCGGTGCTGCTGAGAACGTTCCAGCGCGTATCTCTGGGCGCACAGGTCTGTGCGTTTCTGTGGGGTCCATATCGGGGAGGGGGTTGCAGGAATTCCATCAGTTCTTCGACGGAGTCTGTCTACCCAGCCTACACTTCCCCCAGCAGCGTGTGAGGGTTCCGGTTGCTCCATACCCTTGTCGACACTTGGTGTTCTCGGTTTTAGCTCCTCTGGTGGGTACCTAACGGTGTATCATAATAGGCTTGATTTGCATTGCCCTAACGATGAGTAAATTCGGATGCCGGGTTTTAAAATTACATGTGTTTTTGTTAGCATTAGAATTGTGAGGCATTGAATACCTCTTGTAACAATGAACACGCTGGACAGATCTCGATCCTCTGTTGGTTACATACACATTTGGAGCCTGGGGTCACTGCGTGGGGTTTTCCAACAGCGGTGGGGCACCCGCGGGGCTGACTGGTTCGCATGTCTCTCCTCCAGAACATGAAGAAGAAGGAAGGAGCAGCCGGGACTCCCCGAGCCCGGCCTGCCAGCACAGGGGGACTGAGCCTGCTTCCCCCTCCCCCAGGGGGGAAAACGTCCACCCTGATCCCGCCCCCTGGGGATCATTTGTCTGTAGCGGGGTCCCTCGTCCAGCCAGAAGCTGCTCCCGGTTCAGGTGAGTGCTTGGAGGTGGCTGTACTTGCTGCTGAGTGGGTTCCTCTTCTGCTGGCACCTGGGGCCCGTGGCCTCCCCTCCTTCCTCGTCAGTCTGTCGTTTAGTAGCTGTGTGGCCAACTGGAAGGTGAGCACCGTGGAGCTGATCCCGCTGCACCGAGTAAAGGGTGCCCCTGTCCCCCCTGCAGCCCACCACCGAGCCCTTCAGGGTGTCTCTCCTTGGGTGGGTGGGAACTTCAGCGCATTTGTGCAGCTGAAGTCATCCTGTGGGTTCCTGGTCCTCAGAGGCTGGTCCGTGGGTATTGAAAGAGCAGGTGATGGAGACACAGTCTGTGCTCCCAGGGCACACACATACACCTTAGTGGGAGAACAGGAGTCCCGGGCCCAGAGACTGGGGACCAGACTCCCTACCAGCCATCACCACCGGGGGAGGCTTCACGGAAGAGGTGGCGTGGGGCGGGGCCCCGAAGGAAGGAGGTCGGGGAAGGGAACACTTGGGGTTCTGTGCAGAGGGACGAGCTGTGCAGGGCTCTGGCTCCCGAGCTCCTGGTGTGCTGAGGAAGATGGGTGAGGCGACTGGTGGGAGAGAGAATGGGAGTTCTGGTTTGGAGCGATCCCCCTCCACCCCATCAGGCCATGGGGGTGCTGAGGAGCTGAAAGGCGGCTCCCCCAGCAGGCGGTGCGGTACTTGTTCTAGGATGTAAGGGTTGCCTCCTAGAGACCCCGGAATTTCAGAATTGGGGGCCGAGGGCTGGCCTCTGAAAGAGCCGGGATGCCAGCCCCTCCCTCCACCTCCTCACCCTGCCTTCCCCGCCCAGCGTGGTGCCCCTGGCCCTCCCCGGGCCGGGTCATCGTGTTTCTCTGCACAGCGCTCACCAGCTTCTTGGGGGCGAGATCCAGGCAGGCAGGAAGCCTGCTTGCTTCCCATTTAAGGCTGGTGGGCATCGGCTCCCCTGTCTGGAGGTCAGGCTTCAAACTTCACCCCCGTGGGGGGCCCCAGCCCAGGGGAAGGGTAGTAGGCAGTGAGCCCCCTGCCTCTGCCCCAGAAATGACTCTTTCGGCCTTGTTTCTCAATGAGGTCGCAGAGCCACTTGCCTGGGCACCGCTTGGGGTGGGGGTAGGAATCTGTGCGTGTTGTAATTTGTGTGCTCACTAAGGTCTGAGCACCGCTGTCTTAGGCCTTCCCTCTTTGCTGGTGCATTTTTTTAAAGATTTTATTTATTTATTTTTAGAAAGGGAAGGGAGGGAGAAAGAGAGAGAGAGAAACATGAATGTGCGGTTGCTGGGGGTCATGGCCTGCAACCCAGGCATGTACCTTCACTGGGAATCGAACCTGTGACACTTTTGGTTCGCAGCCCGATCTCAATCCACTGAGGTACACCAGCCAGGGCCTGCTGGTGCATTTTTAACAAATAATATGGAGAACCTGCTGTGTGCCAGGCAGCTTCATAGGCCCCGGGGGTGCTCCGTCCACAGTGTGCGCTGGTGTGCAAGGCAGGCGGTTGGCACGTCTGCCACCCGGTGGTGCTGGATGATTAAGCTGGGTACATAGATAAGAGCCGTGCCTGGCTGACATGTACTGAGCGCTTACACTGGGGCGTGCAAAAGTAGGTTAATAATAATACTAAATCATACAATGATTGATAACCAATATATAAGAATAAACTGTTCAAAAATAGGTTTATATCATGAATATACAGAGAGTTTATTTATAATTATTAATCATTGTATTACTACTTACTATTAACCTACTTTTGTCTACCCCTGCATATGTGCTGAAACCAGGCTGGCTGAGTTTAAATTCTAGCTTACCAGCAGTGTGGTGTTCCGAAGATTGCCACTTCTCTGAGCCTCAGCTTTCTCCTCTGTAGGATGGGGCAGTAACGACACCCACAGTGTGGGTCTCTCGTGGGGATCAGGTAGTCCCCGGAGAGCCCCGGGAACGCCGTTCGTGCTCACGGTTATCAGCTGTCACTTGATTGACACTGTCATCGTTCTGGTCGCTCTGTGCTGGGCCCGTTAATCCTCAGGCAGTCCCGCGAGGCAGTCACGGGTCTCGTCTCCATTTTAGACTCGGGGAAACGGAGGGCCGAGTGGCCTGCGTGAAGTCACGCAGCTGGGGCTGGCACACCTTCCCCGGGGCCTGCGGCGAGGCCCCGCGTTTCATCCGGTCTCCCAGCCCAGAGCGATCAGCGGTAGCATGGTGGTGGGAAGGCAGAGGGCGGCGGGCACAGGGACAGTTGGGACTTCAGAAGGGACAGTTGGCAGCACTGGGGGAGGCGCCAGAAAAGCACAGAGACAGGCTCGGAGGCCCCGTCGTGCGGCCCCGCTGGGGGCAGGTGCGTAGACACCCGCGTCTACGGTGCCTTGTGTGGGCGGCTCTCCCCGACCCCGCCGGTTTGGCTCCAGGACTCGGCACACGTCCGACACGGGATGCTCTCAGCTGCCCGATCCAGACCGGACTGAGGGCTTCACACGAAGAAGACCTTGCGGTTTGAGCGGGCATTCCCCACTCAAGAAGCCAGGGCGGGAGATGGTACATTCTCACCATGAACTGAAAAACAGGGCCAGCCTCAGGGTCGCGGGATGGAGGCTGCGTGACCCGCCCTCACTGGCGCCCACCCTCCACCTCGCATGTGGCTCTCCGCTTTTCCCCGGGAGCCCGGGGGCCCGGGAGCAGACGGTAGGTAGACATGTGGCAGCTGTGGGTGTTGCCTTGCCCAAAAGCAGGTCTCTGCGTGTGCCTTTCTCAGCCACCTGGGATTAGTGAGACTGATCTCAGGGTCCCTGACACAACCAAAAAGATCTCTGACTCCTGTCTTTCTCATTTCTCTTCCTACCCACCGGACCTGGGGACATCCCTAGGAGGGACCACTGGGTCCTGGCCCCAGCCCAAGACTGCCACTACTGCCGCCGCTGACATCTGGGGAGACTTCACCAAGTCCACAGGGTGAGGAGGCTCGCGCTCTCTGGGGCGGGACTCCGGCCAGGGCCGTTTCTGTGGAAACCCGGGGTCGGGTCGCTCCGAGTGCCTGCCCTCTGGTCTTCAGAGCCCCAGCTCCGGTCTGGCCCTCGCCAGGCCACCCAGGGGACGGGGCCCTGCGGCACTTGCTTGGGTGGCACGTTTCTGTCCGTGAAGACTTTCTGTCACTCCCCACCGCGAGGTAGCCTGGAGCCAGCTCCTGCAACCCCTTCTGGTCTGTAAACCTCCCCGCACGTGCTTTGGCTTGTCCCCTGCACCTCCTCCCCCTCCCGCCCCCACCCACCCCAGCGCACGGGGCCGAGAGTTGGCCTGGGTTCTGGATGGCCGTGTACCAGTAAAACTTTATTTATAAAATAAAGGGGCTTAGATTTCGTGCCTGTGCTGCAGTTTGCTGACGTCTGCTCTCGAACACCCAGGAGCTGACTTCTTGGAGCTCTTCCTGCCCAGACCAGACCCACCTTGCATGTGTTCCGCAATTTTCAGACATTAAACTCTGCCACCCCTCCCTGTCTTCCCTCTACAGGGCGACCCCCAGCCAGGCCCAGCCGGGCACGGGCTGGGTGCAGTTCTGACCGGAGCCCAGCTGTCTGTACTTGCATACGACTTGAGAAAGGAGCCGCCTCGTCTGGGCCGAGGGAAGGAGGACGGGACGGAGCACTGCCCGGCGGCCTCTCTCCTCTCCTCCTCGCTCGACTCTCCGAAGACCAGGAACGTTAGGCAGTCCGAGGCCACCGTGTCTCATGTTCTGGGACTCACGTGTGCAGCCAGGACACAGGAGGGGACATGCTCCAAGGCCCTGCCCCTGTCTGCCCTCTTGACTTGAGAGAGACTCTGAGACTACTTCTCCATCACAATGACCCGCAATAAACACAAGCCCCCAAAAGCAAAGAGGGGTTCAGTGTGCTGCCTGGCCTCCGATCGGCCCGCTCAGGGACGGCGGGTGTCGCGGGATCGCCCTTCGGAGGGGAGCGCCCTGCACTCCAGGGGGCTGCGGCCGCTCGCCCAGGCGCTTTCAGAGGAGGGTTTCCCTGCTGGTCCCCAGCAGGCTCAGAGGCTGCGGCTTGAACGGACAGTCCGAGGAGAGTCGGGAGCATTAACCAGTTTTCTGAAATCTTTTTAATACTTGCTTTGCTCGTGTGCTGATCTGCACTAACTCGTTACCTTTGCCAAAGGGACCCTTCCTGCCCTGGGCCCTGGGTGGGGCCTCCGAAAGCCTGTCTTTCTGTCGGCCGCAGGCGCCACCCTGGGCTCTGGGAAGCCGTGTTCATCGTGGCCATGTGGCCTGGTTTCCGTGTCTTCCAGGCTGGGCAGGCAGTGCAGGGCCAAGGCAGCGCAGGAAGCCGGGAGGAGCGGCCTTGGGGCAGGAAACCGGAAGCTGTTCTTTGGAGGTGAGGACCCGCTGGCAGCCGTGCGGGTGTCCGGGCCCACCGTGCAATCCTGTGGGCTGGGGTGTTCTCCGTGGGCGTGAACTGCCTTGTCTGCAGACAGCTCTCTCGCCCCTGCAGGGACTGCGTGACAGGAGAGCTCCGGCTGAGCTCCGGGGGGGCCTGTGTTGCTGGTTTATGAGAAATAACTTTATCTGAGCATTCCTCTAGACTTGCTTCTATCAGTTTTACCTCTCAAAGATTTCTGAAGGGTCAAGATGATGAACTGACAAAAGTATTTGCCTTTTTGTGGGACCAGATTTCTAAGATAAAAAAATAAATATTTTTGCTTCTGTCGGTGCATGTCAAAGACACGCGCATTTCTGGTGGCGTGGCCCCGAACCTTCCGGGTGCCCCAACTAGGGGCACCTCTCACCGTCAGTCACGAGCACCGGGTGCGAGTCTGGGCCAGGGCATCAGATTGGCCGCCGTGAGAGAGTTTGGCCCTATTCCCTTAAGGCAACCTGTGACTTCTCTCATGTGCGTCTAGAAGAGCAGTCTTCTTGCCATTCTGGGACATTTTGGTCCCCTGCTTCCCTCCAAGCCCCCTAGTGGAAGCGTCTCCCTGAATAAATACTCAGGGCCTATGGGCCCACAGAGGCCGAAAGACAAAAAGGGCCGTGCACTTCTGCCTGAGTGTTTGTAACAAGGATGAGGTTCTTTTCTAAATAGTTTTTTAACTGTATTTTCATTTTACTTTTTTAAAGATTTTATTTACTTTAGAGAAAGGGGAAGGGAGGGAGAAAGAGAGGGAGAGAAACACTGATGTGCAAAAGAAACTGATCAGGTGCCTCTTGTACACGCCCTGACCAGGGACCGAACCCACAACCCAGGCACATGCCCTGACCAGGAATTGAACCTGTGACCTCTCGCTTTGTGGCACGATACTCAACCAACTGAGCACCAGTGAGGACAAGTAGTTTATATTTTTGGTGTGGAAATAGGCACTCAGTACAGGGAGGACAAAGAGAAAGAATTGAAGATCCTCTTGTCCTTTGGGTGAGGGTTAAGGAAGTTACATCAAAGGATTCTTAGGAGGAGAGAGCTTTTTTGTCTGTTTTCCATTACTTCCCAACTTTCTAAGTGCTTAGAGGCTGAGAATGAGGAAGCTGGGACTTAGAGGAACTTAGTAGAAGCACATACCTTTGAAAGTAAGCATCTGGCCCTGGCAGGCGTAGCTCAATGGATTGAACTCGGGCTGTGAACCAGGCATTGCAGGTTCGATTCCCAGTCAGGGCACATGCCTGGGTTGCAGGCCATGGCCCCCAGCAGCCACACATTGATGTTTCTCTCTCTCTCTTTCTTTCTCCCTCCCTTCCCTCTATAAAAATAAATAAATAAAATCTTAAAAAAAAGGAAGAAAGTAAGCATCTGGGTTCTGGAGACAGACCCAGGCTTGGGGTCTAGGCTGTCACCCGGTGAGATGCGTGACTCCTTTCTTAACCCAGGTGTCCCTCAGATGAGGTATGCAAAGTGTAGCAGGTGCCCATCCTATGTTTGACCTTAATCACCTTTATCTAGAATCCGGTAACATGCCCAGTACCCCTACTCATGATGGTGATTACGAGGCAGCCGAGAAGAAATGAGTTACTAAGAATCAAACCTGAAAAGCACCTTGGGGGATGTGTGGTGGCAAGGGACAGTTTGGGGCTCTCCATCACCCACTGGACTCCCAAGTGATGAAAACAGCTACAGGACCAGGATCCCCAGGAAACACCCCTCCACACCGAACCCAGCATCTCTGTAACGATAACCCTCACGGCAGGTTCCAAGTTGGGGGAGGTTGGCCGAAAGGGTGGGAGGAGATAGGCGCTGGTTGGTCTGAGGTCTGTGAGGCCCAAACTGCTCTCGCTACAGCGGGAAGACTTGGGTGCACGCAGGTGTGGCAGGCAGACTCCAACACAGCGCCCACCCTCTCCGCCTCCCGGTGTTCACACCGTTGTGCAGCCGGTCTCCTCCCAGTGGGGCTAGACCTGTGACTGCTAACCAGTAGAATAAGGCAAAGACGACACGATACTGCTTCCATGATTACATCCCAAGAGTTTGCAACGGCTGTCTTGCTGTCTCTAGAGAAGCAGGCTGCCATGCTGGCGAGCTGCCCCAGCTGGAGGGTCAGGGTGGCGAGAGCAGGCCAACGGCCAGGCAGAAGCTGGAGCTCCTGGTCCCACAGTCAGCGAGGAGCTGAGTGCTGCCAAGGCCCCGTGAGCTGGAAACTGACCTTGCCCCAGCTGATCCTGCAGATGAGCCGCAGCCCTGGCCAGCACCTGGATTGCAGCCGTGCCCAGCATCCTGAGCCATAGAAACGCAATGAATGAGCTACTGAGCTGGTGGGAATACCGATCAGCACTGATACGAGGAGTGAGCGAAGGGTGTTTAGGATAGAAGTCTGTGTGAGAAAGGAATCGGGTGTACGGCCTTGGGAGGTTGTGCAACCGCTCATTTGGGCCTTACTTTTCCCTTACGCTGACAGTAGCCGTTGTTTAATGCTCACCCTGTGTTAGGCCCCTTCTGTATACTCCACATAAAACTCACTTTATCATCCCAACGGCCCTGTGAGGTAGGTGCTCATCCTAGTCTTACAAAGCATGAGACCGAGGGACAGTGAAATTATGTCATTTGCCCAAAGTCACCCAGTTGCCGAGTGGCACAGGTGGGACTGGAACCCAGGCAGTGCTGGCTGCAGGGACCTGCTTTGTACGTGGAAGTTCCCGTTCCCTCCACGTGCATTGAGAAAGCCACATGTGGCTGTATTGAGTGACAGGCCAAGGGAGGGGCTTTATTCCATAGGTGATTGCAGGCCACTGAAGTGATCATGGGCACACAGTAGGTGTTCAATAGCTGTTGACAGAGCAGGAAGCGACAGGAAGATACAGTGCTCTGTGGACAGACCAATTTTCCCTCACTGCAGCTTGAATGCAGACACATACTTTGATTTCTTCCTCATTACTGATGTGATGTAGATATGAAAACGAAACACAAAGAATCTTACAATCATTAGTATTACCATAGCAAACGACTGGAAATGAGCTGTATGTCTACTGCTGTGTAACAATCACCCCAAAACAACACACTATTGTCTCACAGTTTCCGTAGGTCAGGGACCCAGGTGCAGCTCAGCGGGTCCTCTGTGCCCACGTGTCGCACAGGCAGTGGTCCAGGTGCCAGCTGAGGCTGCAGTGTCATCTTGAGGCTCAACAGGGGAGGATCCACTTCTGAGCTCACTGAGGATTCTGTTCCTTGCTGGCTCTTGGACAGAGGTCACTCGTTTTCTTGCCACGTGGCCTCTGCATAGTTCACAACTGGGTACTTAGCCTCATCAAAGTGAGCAAGCATCCCCGGCTGGTGTGGCTCAGTGGATTGAGTGCTGGCTTGCAAACCCAAAGGTTGCCGGTTCGATTCCCAGTCAGGGCACATTCCTGGGTTGTGGGCCAGGTCTCCAGTTGGGGGTGTGTGAGAGACAACTGATCAAATCTCTTACATATTGATGGTTCTCTCTGTCTCTCTTCCCCTCTCTAAAAATAAATAAAATCTGGGGGGGAAAAAAGTGAGCAAGCAAGAGTGCCTGCAAGACAGCAAGATGGCAGTCATGGTCTTCATCTGAGAAGGGACCTGCCATCACACTGGCTATATGCTGCTGGGTAGAAGCAAGTGTCAGGCCCCTCCCCGCACACACTTGGAGGGGAGGGGCTTACACGAGGGTGTGAATACCAGGAGGCAGGATCATCCAGGGCCGTTTTAGAAGTCCACTTTCGTATTAGTTTCCCAGGGCTGACGTAACAAATTACCACAGACTGGGCATCTACGGACATTTATTCTCTCTCCCAGCTCTGGAGGCTAGAAGTCTGTTAGCAAGGCGTCAGCAGGGCCGTGCTCCTTGCAAAGGTTCTCTGAGCTTCTGGTGGCCCCAAGCATTCCTCGGTTTATCAGAGCATAGCGCCAGTCTCGGCCTCTGTCCTCACGTGGCCTTCTCTGTGTCTCTGTGTGCGTCCTCTCCTCTTCCTGCAGGGACACCCTGTATTGGAGTCAGGGCCACCCCTGAATTCAGGCGGAACTAAACCCTTAGTCCCATGGGCAAAGGCCCCGTTTCCAAATGAGGTCACATCCCCAGGTACTGGGGGCTCGCACTTGAACACATACATTTTGGGGGGACACAATAGGACCCACCACTGTCTGCCCACTACAGTGTCCATCGGTAAGGGATGAGTTATATACACTTAGGTATATCTGTACTGTGGAATACTAGGTCCCTGGGGGAAAGCAAAGAATGAAAACGACCTTCATGTGTTGATAAGGAATGGTTGCTACGCTACGTAAGGACAGGCAGCAAGGTACAGAATAAGGTGTAGATAGACGATGCTCTCTTTTGCATTAAAAAATGGGAAGGGAAAGTGCACACTTCATGTGCATAAACTATCTCTGGGTGATTAGGAGACAGGGATGGGAGACATACTTCTGACCTTCTATATTATTTGAATTCGAGTCATGTAAATGGACCATCTTTTCAAAGAATGAAAAAAATCTACATTTGAAAGATCATCTGTCAAACCAGCACCCAACAATATAGAGCATGGCTAAAAAATTAGTGTCTTTTTCCTATTATATTTGTAAATAAGAAATATTTCATTTTTCTTTTACAAATAGGAGCTTGTTCTGGCCTACTGTTCTGAAACCCTGCATTTAATGTCTTGTAACCATTTCTCCAGCCCCTGAATGTTCTTTTCTAATATTTGGAATGACTTCGTAGTGTTCCATTAAGGGAACAACTCATGACTTATACGTGGAAGTCCCCTGCTGCTGGGCATTTCAGTCTTCCTAATTTTCTGTTACTAAAGCCAGGCACTATAGTCCCTGACTGGTGTGGCTCAGTTGGCTGGGTGTTGTTCCACAAAGCAAAAGGCCCCCGGTTCGATTCCTGGTCAGGGTACATGACTGGATTGTGGGTTCAGTCCCCAGATGGGCATGAACAAGAGGCAAATGATCAATATTTCTCACATCAACACTTCTTTCTTTCTCCCTCCCTTCCCCTCTCTCTAAAAATACATTTAAAAAAAAGATTTTATTTATTTTGGAGAGAGAAAGGGAGGGAGAAAGAGAGGGAGAGAAACATCAATGTGTGGTTGCCTCTTGTGTGCCCCCCACCAGGGGCCTGGTCTGCAACCCAGGCATGTGCCCTAGACTGGGAATCAAACAGGTGACCCTTTGGTTCACAGGTTGGCACTCAATTCACTGAGCCACACCAGCTAGGAAAAATAAAATTTTTTTAATGCTTAAAAAAATAAAGTCAGGCATTATAGAAA